TTCTGTAACAAAACTCGTCCCAGGTTAACGGGAGGTTTGAGCGCTCACTTGCATGTTTTACCCCGCCACATACTGTATATACCTGTCCCAAGTTAGGAGCCTGTAGTTCAATGTGTCGTTTGTTGATGTCTGTCATATTTGTTTTTCGTTTTATTGTGTTATAAATTAGGCCGTTTTTTCTCAACTGAACTGTTTCATATTTTTCATGTCAGAGCCTTTCATAGCCGACAATACCCTACTGGTTTTTTTCTCATTGTTGAAGGTGGTACGGTTGCCTATATATAATTGCTTACATCCACTTCATTTGAACTTTGGGGATAGTTGTCACATTGGCAATCATACCACATCTCCTTATTAAAATGTTGAGGGGGGAGGGGGGTTGAAATTTTTATTTCTTAGGAAAGTTCCAATGTTTTCCTCCCAGGTCACCCAGTTTTAATTGGATATTTTCTCATTTTGCTGTGCCCTTGGATTTGTGTTTAAGGCCAACCAGAGCTTACTGCCTGTTGGTGGGTAGTTGAAGACCATATGGTAAGTTCTAGGTGTCTTTTTGTGTATTGTATATGGTGATTTGGTGATGTCTTCATGCCATTGTCTCATTACTTTATATAGACAGCTTATCAGTCAACCATATCTATCAAAGACGACAAATGATGGCCAAAGCTCTCCTGGCCTTTTGTATAGTCAGGCGAGAAACAAGATATAAACGGACTTGGCTTGGTATAAACATGTATATTTAGTTAATTCGTATAAATTCAAGTCATATTAATATTTCAAAACAACATAAAAATATAAAAGTGTAAACAAAATTTTTTAATAAATCTTGAAAATATTATTGTGTTTGTGTGTGGCCATGGATAAAGGCATATTTTTCAGTCTGGGTTAAAAAAAATTATTGACTTCGGGTACAAATCTCTGCCCCACCCCAGAGAATCAAATGGTTGCTTCCTTGGGAACAATAGAGATTGAAGATGTTGAGAATGAAGATCAGGTAATAATTGTATGTTCTGCGGCGACGTTAAAGGAACACCAATCAGTCAATCGATCTTTATGACTATGGCTTCAGTTGTGTAATATTCCTTGTTGTAAAAGTTCCTTTTCTGCTTTGTGTAGACTTATTAAGACTTGGAATAGATCTACGATGACTAATGAACGGTCGTGTATGGTTTGGCATTTTTACATGCCTACCGATAATAAAATTGACAATGGAAATGGAGAATATGTCAAAGAGACAACAACCTGACCAAAGAACAGACAACAGCCGATGTCCAGATATGATACGATGCTACCGGACATAGAAAAACCTGTCCTTTTTTCATGGAAAATTAAACTGTTACAGTAAATAAAAGAATACAAAACTAGCTCTTTTTTCTGTAAATACAAATAAAAAGCTGACATGGGTGAGATTAAAGCTAGAAATTCCAATTTCCCAGTTCACTTAAAAAGACCATATATAGATATAAGAAGATGTGGTATGAGTGCCAATGAGACATTTCTCCATCCAAGTCATAATTTGTTAAAGAAAAACCATTGTAGGTCAAAGTACGATTTTCAACACGGAGCCTTGGCTCACACCGAACAGCAAGCTACAAAGGGCCCCAAAATGACCAGTGCAAAACCATTCAAACGGGAAAACTATGCAGCGGTATAATCTATATAATAAATAAGAAACAAGAACACTTATGAACCACATCAACAAACGGCAACTACTGAACATCAGGTTGCTGACTTAGAACAGGTGCAAACAAATGCAGCGGGTTTAAACGTTTTAATAGGTACCAAATTCACTCTTATCCGAAACAATAATGTAACATATGACCTTTAATATTGAAGGGCTAAACTTGCATTGAGCCGTGTTAAGGCCCTAAAATAGAAAATAAAGAGATGTGCATGGGACAAAATCGCACACAATACATAGAAAAAATACAAATTATCAATGAACAGGGCTTTTATTTCTGTTCTTCATCTTGAAAGTAGCTGGAGGGTCTTCAACGAGGAAAAGAACCATTCATACCCTGAAAACAACAGCCACACAATTGGTTATGTGGATTACAATGTTTTGCTATATCCTACACCCTGAAGTTTTTTTCTCCAGAAGACCTCAGGTACCCAGCTTCCTTTTGCACCTAGTGCTGACAAAAGTATTGCCGTAGATTTTTTTATTAACTTTTCGGTAATGGTTTGGTAGGGTGGGTAGCTGAGGTCTACTTGAGAAAAAATCCAGAGTGATGTTCGGCTTAGTCTTTTTTTTATAATGTAATAAGCTGGCAAATTATGAAAGCTCATGTCTTAAAGGAGACATGACACGATTTTCAATTTGTGTTTCAAAATGTTTATTTATACTTAACTTTCCCCAAAAATACATCGATAGCAATATAAGTGTCAACTATTTAGGAAAATTTGTATTTTAATGAGATTTTAATTCAACGATTTATCGACCTGTCAAATATGCATATTTCCATCCCGGAAGTCACTCAGAACGAGGTTACTACGTCAGTGGTTACATTCATTCATATTGACATATGGGTACAGCACAAATTTAGTTTCGATTATTATCCAACAAAACTCATGACAGTGATAAACAATGATTATGTGTGATGCCGATGGATTCAACAATATAATTAAAAAAAATATTGACATGATATTTTCTGTTTTTTGAATGACATGCAGACTTAGAAGGTGTAAAGATGGGACTTTTTAACAAGCCCAAGCTACACTTCTTTCCGCCCACTTAATAAGGAATTCAGAGTTAGGGTATCGGGTGCCATGCCATGAGTTCATCATAGGTCACATGTATACGGTACAGATAATGAGTTTCGCAACTAGGTCTCGTTTGAAGTTGCAAACTTCAGGTGTCACTCCACAAACAACAAACAAATGGAAGTTTTAACGACCTTGACTGGCTATACAGCCCTTGCACGGTCGGTTATCTTGACTCCACATGGGGGATTGATAAGACATATATAGTGATTACGCAATATTACTTCATAAGCTCTTTGTGTACATCCTGGATGTTGGTTTTGCCGAGGGCACAGGTGAGATTGGAATATATTATTGTTGTGTACAGTAAAACAGGTACAACTACCTGATCATATATGTTTAATGAATACCTGTAGTACGACCATACAATACCCTATGCACTACCAATTAAATAGAATGACCTTATTTTTATTGCTTTTAAGAATATGCAGATATAAAAAGGTTTATAACAGATGCATTTTTAATTGACTTCTTGAGATGGAAAAGTAATATTCTTGTATGCTGCAAGTCTATAACTTCATAAGAAATTGTTAGACAAAAAGCATAAAAAGCAAACAAGGAAATGATACGAGAATGTGAGTCATAAGTCTTTTACATTCTTTTTCGGACACATTCCCTATTTCCATTCTCATTTTTTTTTATATTGAACATCGAATATAATTATTGACAACTATTTAGTTGGTAAAGATTCAGATGATGAAAAACATTTCTTTTTAAAATGGAAACTATATTAATAAATGAAGAAAGTGTCGTTTACCGTACGGCCTCCAATAATGAGAAACCCTATACCAAATATTTGGCTATAAAAGTTCTCAACGTGAAAATGTGAAACAATTTTAACGATAAAACTAACTTATTTATAACAAAATAATTTCCGTAGAAAAAAATTGACAGACATGAATCAACGCGACAACCACCGATCTATATATATAACTGATTTAAGAAAGGCACATTCAAAATGTGTCGGTGGTATATGTTTGTGAGCGCCTACGGTACCCTCTCCCCCTCCCAACGTATGACAGTGGTCTTACAGCAGTACATAAGAACTATAAAAACCAGTCTAACGCAAAAGGTCCGAGAATACAGTTATCGTCCTTTGATTTTCGTCCCTAGTGTGGACAGTGTGTTACTTGCCATTTTTTTTTATACCCCTTCCAAATTTATTTCTCCACGTTTTATGACACAAATAGCAAGTAGGGGGGGGGGGGGTGAAATGACACTGTCAAAAAAATTTGGGTCATGAATTTTAAAGTAAAGTAGTGATTTGGTCCAGCTGGAAAATGTTAAAAATTAGCACTTCGGAAGCTGTCAAAAGATTTCAAGACCCCCTTAACATAAAATTGTCCATGTTTTGAGTTGAAGCCAATGAAGTTTTCTATAATTTTGATAAAATTTGTCTCAAAAGTAGTACAACACACTGTAAAAAAAATTATTGAGAAATCGCATGTGGGATTTTTTAAATTTTCATTTATTGTCTAAAAGAAATGCACTACGAAATAACTGTGTACTCGGACCAAAAGATCGGTACGAAGTAGAGAAACCACTAACGTTAAAACAATAGAGACAACGCACAAATACTGTTAGCTAGATCAAACAAAGCCAAGTACAGCTAATACACAACTCATGTTCTTGAAAACTGAAGTATGTTACATGTAAACATTTTCTTTCTCAGTCCGATTGAAAATCTAACATCTATTCAAATGACCCCTTTTAGAAAAAAATATTTTGAAAAAGAACATTATGTGTTGCGAATATTTTCCTTGACTCAAGCTGGTAACAATAAACAAATTGATTGCTAAATGATATTTGGAAGAGACGGGTGGAAATAAGTGAATTTGAATTTACTCTGTGTAATTTCTTAAATTTGAAGTTAGATTTATAAGGGTCTGGATGGAATAGCATACTTTAGAAGTGTAGTATATTAATTATTTCAACATAAGATAGTTTTTCTTATAAATGTATGATTTTAAAAGGTAAATAACATAACACGTGACTAAATCACACTACAGGTGCCTTCTTACCTTTCACCTGGTCAAGTATGCTATAGGTGTCAATATTTATGTTCTTATTCAATACTTCAAACGAACATATAGCATTTACAAAGTAAAAACTCAACACAGTTTTTGGTTATCAGCTCGCCCCGACAGCACAGAAAGCTTATTTTTATTATAAACAATAAACAAATGTCCAATTTGCTGTCATCGACCGCTGCCATCACATATAAACACAATCTACAATAGAAAAATGTTCTATAAGTTGAAGAAAAAATCATTTCGATTTACATACATGTATTTTATCAACTATTTTCTACATAACATACTGATTCACATTCCTATGAAGTCTTAATAAAAGGGGTGGGTGGGTGGGAAAACGAACCTTTCTGTCGGATAGGCGAACCTCGAATGACAATTCTAGATATCTTATTATAATTTTAGCGCTAAAATTCTAGCATGAAGTTATCATGATTGATATAACTTAAACCGGTAATAACTTACTGATGGTCCAATCAAATTAAACATAAACATGTTTTGATTTAAACACACGTGTTAAAAGTAAACAAATACACGTGTTCCCGAGTAACCTTTATAAATACATTTATGTTCTTATTCAATACTTCAAACGAACATAAAGCATTTACAAAGTAAAAACTCAACACAGTTTTTGGTTATCAGCTCGCCCCGACAGCACAGAAAGCTTCGATTGATAAAGAAAGGGACATAAAGAAAAAGGGGGGACAAACAATATAAATTACAATCCTAAATTCTTAGATACTGACAATCTGTTGAGTATACTCTCTTTAACATAACCATCTTTGGCTTTATCACTTTTCCATCTCCCGTGTTTCTTAAACAACCGGTCATCTATTCCAGCTTCTGCCGCGGCAGTAGCTCCTCCTGACCTCAAACTATGTAAGCCAAACTGTTTTTTATCAAGACCTAAACTGTCAAGTGCAGATAACAATAACTCTCTGGCTCTGGTGTAAGAAATATGACTACTCTTTCTAAGTTTGTATATATTCAAAGATTTACAATAACAAATAGATCTAAAAATAAAATCATTCGATTCTTCAGGAATGTTAGCTAACTTTAGATAACGCTGAAGTACATCTACCGGGCATGTAATATTCCCTGTTTTTGAAATAACAACATCTTTCCCTTCCCTATATACATCAGTTTTACTCTTGACTAAATGAAGTGTAAGGTAAGTAGGGGAAAACTGTATATCAGACCTTCTCAAGTTAGCTAACTCGGAGAATCTTAAAAAGCCAGCATAGGCTAATAAACACATACATGCTATTCTTACATCTTTTAAATTACAAGTATTATTAGCATATTTACATACAATATTTTTCAAAATATGCGGTGTGATAGGTTCTTTTTTGACAACTGAATGACCTATTTTTCTATGAGCCCCTTCAAGAACAGATGCAACTAGATTATTTTCACTGGGATCAGCAACGCCAGCTAATTTATGTGCCCATTTTATGGCGTAAAAAGCATCATTTAATTTTGAAACCGATTTTGCAGTTTCAGACAAATGAATTAAATATAAAGAAATATGTAAATGAGATGCTGGCAATGGTGAAAAAGAATATTGACTAGTCCACTTACACCATGAATTGAAGGCATATCTATATTTCTTCTGAGTACTCGCAGCCTTGGACGAAAGAAGGAATTCTGGTAACTGTTTGAACAAACTGCTGAGATCATTATTAGAGGCAACTTGTGAATTAAAGTCTGACCAATGTCCTACTGAAAAAATATCTGAAAAACGTAAAATTGCAATAACATTTTATATACATATACAGAGGACGAATTATTAGCATATTTCAGATTTCTATACACAGTAAAATATAATATATATTCAAATATTTCAACGCCAGCTACAATATCTTTATAGATACTAGGGCCATAAACTGTAAAACAAATTACCATGCCTGCTAAAATATCATTATAGATACTAGGGCCATGTCAAATAAAAAACCAAGCCTGCTACAATATCATTACCGATACTAGGGCCATGTCAACATAAACACCCATGCCTGCTACAATATACATATACTAGGGCCATGTCACAAACAGACCATGACTGCTACAATATATCTATATATATATTAGGGCCATGTCACAAACAGACCATGCCTGCTAAAATATATCTATATATATTAGGGCCATGTCTAAGATGCATCTAGCAAAACAGCCAAAACTGGCGAACCAAACGGTTCAATTCCGAATATCGTATTCTTATTCGAACCTTGCTTATAAATACCATCAGTATTTTTAAACACAATAACATCTTTTACGTAATCTTGATAAATCAGATGTTTATCGAATATCAAAGGCCAGAATGCAGCAGAAATCCACTTAGGCACAACTAACGTGCCTCGAGCTTTACAAGCTATAATGTGTTTAATCGATCGTATCACAAGATTAATTGGTGGAACTAGCCAATTATTTTCATTGGTCCAAACTTGAGAAAATGCATCAACTGCTTCAGAATCAGGTTGCCAAAATAAGGAGTTAAATCTCATAACTTTTCTATTTTCGACACTTGCAAACCTGTCAATCGAATAAGGACCCCACATATCATTTAAAAAATTGAAAAATATATGTGTGACTCCCCAGTCCTCGAAATCAACCATTTTGCTGATATAATCAGCCTTTTCATTTTCTTTTCTGGGAATCCATTGAATGTCAATTGATATTCCTTTTTGAATGCAAAATGAAAAAATAGATTTTGCTATAACATGAAGATTTTCTTTCATACTTCCCGAATTAACAATTTTGACACAATTTTGATTGTCAGTAAACCACTTTATAGTTTTTCCTGTGAAACTATTCTTAAAAGAAAAAAGGGCCAACTCTATAGCTTTCAGCTCTCTCCATGTGGAGCTTTGTACCGTTTCACTACATGTCCACATCTTATGGAAAATCTTATTTTCTAATTCAACGGTGTATGCACCAGCGGCAATATTACTAGCATCTGAGTATATGACAACAGAAGATTTACTGTAATGACATAAATTACGATAGTTAATCATGGTGACATTTTCTAACCAGAACTTTAACTCTGATAAAACCTCGACGGGTTTGTACCCTGTAATGGGAATATCCCACCCAATTCTACTTTCAATTTCCATGTAACAGAACTTTGACATAATTCTAGCCACATTTCCGATTACGGGAGTCATAGAAATAATTCTACCTACAACCTGAGCTAAAGATCTAGCTGTAACATAGGGAAATTTAGCCAAAATTACATTCAATGAGAAAATCAAATCGTCAACTCGACGTTGAGTAATAGATAATTTGTATTCTTTCGAGTTCCAAACTATTCCCAACCATTCTAACTCGGTAACAGGTTTAAAAACAGACTTCTCCTCGTTAATAAGGAAACCAGCATCAATCAAAGACCTTTTTACGAAGGACGATTGCTCATTACATGTATTTTCATCTGGACTCATGCCAAATCCATCATCTAAATACAAAACAACTTTTATACCGTTTCCACGCCAAAATTTTACTAGTGGCCTCAAACATTTAGTAAAAATGTACGGACCGGTAGTAATTCCGAAAGCTAAAACAGTATAGCAATAAAATTGACCTTCCCACTGAAAACCTAAGAAAGTCTGTTGCTGTGAGCATATGTCTAAGTGAAAATAACCAGATTTTAAATCAAACTTAAACAGATACATATCTTTGTCAAAATATTGTATAGCTAACTTCCAATCCTCAAATTTTATTTTTTCGCGCTTTATGTGTTTATTCAATTGACTCATATCTAAAATAAGTCGTTTCTTACCGGACTTTTGAGTAGCAACACTCAATGGATTTACCACATATGGTTGAAAAGGCACTTTAATTACGCAACCTATTTGAACTAATTCTTCAATTGACTTTGTGACAAATTCAGTATTCTGCCGTGCTGATCTATTATTTCTGTGGTACATTTTAAAAGGTGTATCTATAAATGGAATAACATAACCATTTTTTATTGTATCAAGCACAAAAGGACAAGCACCTATATTTTCCCAATACTTTACATGACAAGCTAATCTACCTTTCACCCCTTTAAATTTATCATATGACTGACAATTTTCAAAATATTGAACTTGATCTAAAAAAGATTCTATATAATCGTTATCAACAAAACATGTAGAAAATTGGTCATTAATAGTGTCTAAATACTTATCATTCACAATGACTGGAGAGTGACGTTCAGGCCCTACTTTACTACTTCTGGTAGGTTGTGGAGTTGCTGTTGGATGACCTGAGACTGGCGAGAAGAGGACAGTTTTTTCTCCAGTGGCCTTGTTGCTTGCAGTAGTGGCACGTGTCGATTGAGCAAGGCTCACGCCTTGCGAAGCTCCCACGAAAGGGCTGTTGCTGATTACGTTGATAATGCTGAGCGTAAGCAGGGTTACCATAAGATTCCGCAGGTTGTTGACGAGGCGGATTTTTTGGGTAAGGTTGCTGGCGAGATTTTGACTTCTCCTTGGAGGTACGGATAGCTCTGGTCTCAGCTTGTCGTATCTTTCTCTCATCTTCAGAATCTGAAGCCACGGCATTGGATTCGTATTCCCTAACGGTTCCCCAACCAGCAGGGGAAGCATCAGCTATGCGTATTTTCTTATTACGGCTTTTGATCTTATCAGTTATGTCAAGAACTAATCTATAGGCTTGAGTATTGGAGTTAGGGATGAATTTTGAAAGTTTATTAACAGTGTCTAATAATTCCTCGTTAAAGGTGTACTGAATTCTGTTTCCTTCCCCCTTAAATTTTAGAGTGACGTCCTCCTTAATTTTTCTCTTAAGGCAATCTTGTTCTTGTATGAGTTCAGATTTCAACTCACCTAACTTGCTGTCTAAAATTGTCTTAAAAAGCTCTACAGTATCTACCAAATCAGACGACTTATCAGCTGCTTTATGAATATTAGGTGGCGGTAAACTATTATCTCCTTCGAGTAGTATGTCTTCATTCAATTCCAGACGTGGAGAAGATTCGGACATTTTACCAAGTGGCGATTTAAGAAAAAACGAACCTTTCTGTCGGATAGGCGAACCTCGAATGACAATTCTAGATATCTTATTATAATTTTAGCGCTAAAATTCTAGCATGAAGTTATCATGATTGATATAACTTAAACCGGTAATAACTTACTGATGGTCCAATCAAATTAAACATAAACATGTTTTGATTTAAACACACGTGTTAAAAGTAAACAAATACACGTGTTCCCGAGTAACCTTTATAAATACATTTAATCACTAAAACAACAGCCTCCAATAAATGTTTTGTATTGTGTAATTTTATACATTAGGTGAAGACACCGATGAGACGTAAATAAAATATTGAATTGAATTGTCATAAAAGGGGGAAAGTAATAAAATTGTTAATTGAATATCCTAATGCAGAAATAGTGTGATAAAGGATTTTCACTATCCTTTGTGTGATGTATTGTTTCCAACCATCAAAAAATATAAGCATAACTGTTGGTGATAATTTATACATATTAAAAGTCTCTATGTAATAAAAAAAAAATTAAAAACGGACACTTTGCGAACGCCTAATTTTACTTTTACTATCGTTTTTTTTTCTGCTTCTGGCGCACACATAATTATAACATTACCGTAACAGAGAGAGAAAAAAGAACAATTTGATCATCAATAATTAGAAATTTATATTTTCAATCATGATTATAAACTAGTTTTATTTAAATGAAAAAATGCAGAAAGCGGTCTATTAAATTTATTCATCAGACAAACCAAATATGTATGGTAACAATTCGATCGGTATTGTCTGAAAAATCGTAGTTTTTGGACTCTTTGCATGAAGAATTAATATCCTTTTCTTGTTTTTTTTTCACATACAATGTCTTTATAGTTTGTCAGTAATCGAGAAAAGTGCTGTCAATACCGTCCATAGTGTATCGACATCGTCCAGTTAAGAGACATTTTCCCAGCTTGAAACCACTGACGTAAGCACGATCACGTGATCGTTATCTAATTAAAAATCATTCTTAATGACAAGCGCTGGATTCTTTGACCAGAAAAATGCTGATTTATCAGGTTTTTGACCAGCAAAATTGTACAAAACATGTTTTAAGACTAATATTTATTAATTAAATAAAAAAAAAAAAAAATATATAAAAATCGTGTCATGTCTCCTTTAATTGATAGGCATAGAAATAAAACGAAAACGTATGAAAACCAATAACATTCTACTGGAGACAAAATAACGTTGGTTTAGGCAACTAGTATGATGGTCTGGATGCGTATTTCTTCATTTCTGTATTCTTTGAAATTCTATTCCATTTTTCTCTATTCTTTAATCAGTGTTTCAGGCCATTTTTCTCTATTCTTTATCATGTTTATTTCTTTATACTTTTTGCCAATTATTCTATTCTTTTTTTTATTTTAACACCTTATTACTCTATTTTTTTTTAATTTCTTGGTTCATTTTCTCTATTATTTATATTTTTTGCCCACTATTCTCTATTCCGTAAACCCCCATCCACACCCAGGCTCTGGTTAAGGTCACCATATAGCTTTCAAAAATAATCAAAACTAATACCGAGTAGGCTCCGAATGGCAAAATGATTGAATGCTAATCCCGGTTTGAATTGTGAAATTGCGGAAATTTGTTTTTCAATCAACTGATCAAGCAAAACACATTATCGTCCTGAATGTTCGTATAATGGACCTTGGTTATGAATTCTAATCATCTGAGATCAACCTTTCTAAATTTAAAAGTAAAGATACGCACCCTTATTGTTCAGATTGATAAAGTCTTTTGCATCCGTCGACATTATCTTCGATTAAAGATCTGATAACCACAGTGACTGTACATGTATACTTTAACGACCGGAGTAGTTTTCTTATAAGTTTTTAAAAGTAGTAACCTCCCTTGTCAATGTGATGTTGTAATCAATCTATTTATTTGTATCATCTTTATATAATATTATGTTGTACAATTTAAATTTATGATCATGATGATTCGTTTAATATTTAAATATAATAATTTATTTTTTATTAAAGATATAAACAAGGTAATTTGAAAGGCTTTGATTCATTTATCACCGTAGTTCAATTCATAAGTCAGGCGGTCTATTTTGTCTACATTATGTTGAAAGAACACCGGGGTGTTTACATTGGCATTATTTACTATCAATGACTGTGAAACAAGAAAGGGAAACATTGTACATTATAAAACAGAAATAATTAAAATTAAATACAAAATTTTTTTTTAATGAAATCAAAAACGAAAAACGGAAATACTTTTGATTTTCATTTTGGTTTTAGAGAAATCAAAAACAAAAAATAAAAACACTTTCGTTTTCCGTTTTGGTTTTAGAGAAATCAAAAACGAAAAATGAAAACACTTTTGTTTTTTTTGTTTTGGTTTTTGAGAAATCAAAAACGAAAAATGAAAACACTCTCGTTTTTTTTTTTTTGATATGTCAAAATGAAAAACGAATGGACGCACATATACACGGACCTTTATAGAGAAAGTCGACACAGAATTAGTTAAACCAAAAACCAAGTTACATTATATCCCTCATCATGCAGTGAAGACAGATTCCGCAACTACACCCATCAGGATCGTGTATGACTGTAGTTGTAGACAACCACCGGACACCGCCAGCTTAAATGATTGCTTACTTAACGTGCCTCCAAAGTTGAATGATGTAACCGCAATACTTTTAAGATTCCGCATGAATAAATATTCCGTATGTACAGATATTGAAAAGGCCTTTCTCAGTGTTGGAATAGATATTGAAGACCGGGACGTCACTTGATATTTCTGGTTAAGCAATCCAACAGACCCAAGCAGTTGTATTACGACTTAAAAGATTAAGTTTGTATTATTCGGAGCCACCTGCTCACCCTTTATATTAAATGCTGTTTTATCAAAACACATCAACAACCATCAGACAGAACTTACTGACAATTTAATGAGAGATTTGTACGTAGATAATATTGTTTCTAGTTTTAATTCCGAAGATGAATTGTCACAATATTTCAAAGTTATTCGCAAATTATTTACAGATGGTGGATTCAATTTACGTGCATGGGCATCAAATAACAAAGCTGTTACATTAACTTGCAGAATCTGAAAAAAGTTCTCGACACAGCACAGGTAATCAAAGAATTAGGCTTGCGTTGGACTACAGATCACGATCACAAAGGTATGCTGAAAATATACTAGACACTAAAATAGACCTCATCACAAAACGCGAAGTACAAGGAGAATCGTCTAAGATTTATGATCCACTCGGGATCATCAGTCCAGTTACCGTACGAAGTAAAATGTTTATGCAAACACTTTGGGGCAAACATATGAAATGGGACGAACCATTGCCTGATCATATGAGAACAGAATGGGTTGACATCAGACGAGATATTAATGAACTACAAAGACTGTTATACATCGTCATTACTTTACAAATTGTTCGGATTCTAACAGAGACAATGTGATACATGTATTTATGGATGCTAGCATGAACGCTTACTGAGCTTGTGCATATCTCGTTTCGGAAGGAAAAAGTTCACTTCTAATGTCAAGAAATCGAGTAGCAACGTTAAAACAGCTAACAGTACCAAGACTAGAACTAATGGCTGCAGTAATTAGAAGTCGATTTTTTCTCATATTTTGACTCATATTAATTTTAGTCGTGTCATACTATGGAGCGATAGCCAAATTGCGTTGAGCTGTTTGAGTTCGAACAAGATGTTAAAACAATTGTCGCCAATAGAGTGAAAGATATCAAAGAACTGACAGAAAAGTTTACATGGAAAATAAAGGCAACAGTAGTATATCGCTGTTCGAAATTCATAAATACTGTCCAAGTGAATCTTATCCCGCCGATTTACTATCAAGAGGAATAACAACTCAAAAGACTAGAGACAACGTGTTATGGATGAACGGCCCTGATTGGTTAACGAACAAGAAAAAATGGCCTGAATGGAAAATAGATGAAACGCAAATTATGTCTACATTTGCTCAACAAGAAGTTAAGGTTGATACGACACAAATACTGAATACGCACGGTGTAACACAGAAAATCAAAAACGTAACAGATTTAACTCATTCAAGAAAGTTTTGAGAGTTACAGCTTACGTACAAAGATTTATAGCTAATTGTAGATCAGGAGAAAAACAAACTGGAAACCATAATACACAAGAATTACAGAATGCAACGTTAACTTTGATACAAGATGTACAGCAAACACACTATTGTGACTTGAAACAAAGCTTACAAATAGGAGAGACCAAGACTTACAAACTTAGTTAAACTGAAACTTTATTTAGAAAAGGACAACTTGATTCGTTGTGGAGGACGGATTCATAACTCACCATTGGATGAATTTCCTATATTGCTACCTGCAAAAGATAAATTAACTAAACTCATTATAATGGATGCTTACATTTCACATTTACACTCAGGACTGTCAAATACCGTCACACTACTCCGTCAGACATATTGGATACCGAGTATACGGCAAGTTGCGAACTGTATATTACGCAAATGTGTGACCTGTAAAAAAGTTTAAGGCCGACCGTATACAGCTCCAGATGCGCCACCCTTACCGAAGGACAGACTACGAGAAGCACCGCCGTTCACAGTAACGGTAGTTGATTTTACGGGTGCTCTTGCAGTGAAAACGACGATGGAACTACTAGTAAAGCTTACATATGTTCATTTACATGTGACAGCACTCGCGCTGTGCATCTAGAAGTGGTGGACAACTTCACAGAAGAAAAATTTATCTTAGCATTTCGAAGATTTGTAAGTAGAAAATCATTACCGAAAACGATGATATCCGACAATGCTACTACCTACATTGCAGTCGCTAAGCATATAGAAACTCACACGATCAGCGTCACTTACAAAAAAGTTGAACAACTATGGTACAAAATGGACATTTATACCAAAACGCGCCCCGTGGTACGCCGATTTTTGGGAAAGATTGGTAGGAATAACAAAAGATTGTGTCAAAAAAGTTTTGGGGCGTTCCCTTATCAACATAGAACTTCATAAGACAATTGTGACTGAAGTTGAAACTATTCTGAACGACCGTCCACTAACTTACGTCTCGTCAGATCTTTTAGATGAACCGCTAACGCCATAACATTTACGTATACGTTACGGACGAAGGATCACAACACTACCATACCCTGATAATAGAGATTTTGAACAATCGACGTATGAGATGACTCGTAAATCTGTGAATAAACTGTCTCGGTGGAACATATTCAATAGTTTTGATACAAATGGAAGCACAAGTATCTTACCTCTCTTCGAGAATATCACCGAAACACCGAGAAGGACAATCAAACAATCACCGTTGGAGATGTTGTACAAGTGTACGAAGAATCACCGAGGACAAAGTGGAAACTAGCTGTAATTGATCAATTGAACATTGGAGGTGATGGGAAAACGAGATCTGCTGTAATACGGACAAAAAATGGACTCACTTCGCGTTCGATTACAAAATTTTATCCTCTTGAAGTGTCAGCAAAAAGAGACTTTATAATAGACAATACATGTGATATCAATTATCCTCTAAGTTATAGAAACTCAAGCCGTAAAGCTAAAAAGTGTTGATATGGAGAACATTAAGAAATGGACAAATGGAAATAATTCTTAATTTAGAGACTGTAAAATGCAATTTTATTTAGTTTTTCATAGACATTAACTCATTTCAGAGAACTTTAGAGTTTTTCAGTATTTTGCAAGTGTCACATTATATTGTAGTTTAAATATTTTTAATTTCATCTCTTGCACGGCCCCAGGATGTTGTGAAGTCCGCTTCTTAGACGTACAGTATAGCACGCCGCTCAATTGTAACGTCACTATCGTTGACGTACTTCCTTTAGTTTTCTCGATACCTTCATCAAACTAGCAAGACGTCTGTTCTTTAGTTCTTGCCATTATACGATATTTTAGCCACTATACGCAATATTACGTTTAAGGGTAATAGTTACGTCTAATTGATTTGTATATATGATGTTTCATTCTTTTATTGTTTTGCTCCGATAGTTTATTTCTATTTTCACTTTTATTTTTGCGTTCCAATACTCTGGGCTGCACTGTTGTGAATATTTATCATGAACGAAAGGAGAGTGAATATAAACTTTTTCTATTTTAGGTATCTCTTATATGTATGTATATTATTGTTTATGGGAAATATAGTTAGGAAAGGGTTCGTTCTCCCTGTTTGATCAGTGGGTATCTTGACATGTGACCACCTTTAGTTTTTCCCAAAATATCGTGTGTCCCGTTTTCTCCCCTGCTTGCTCTATTTACATTATGGGTCTATATTGTAGCAGGATATATTTACTAAAGGGTTATCTTTGATAAGCCCATATCTCCCATTTCTTCCGACAGTTTTACATTTCTATTTGCGCCATTTTCCATGTTATTCCCGTGGTAACTTCCGGTTATCAAGTCCAATAATATTGACGGAGATGGCCTAGTTTCCAGAACCCCGTATTGTGTATAGATATTTTTACATCAATAACAAAGTTAATTTACCAATAGTAACGTACTCACTTTCCGTGTTCCTGCATTTCCTCAGTACAAATGCGTCTGTAGCAGACAATATGGGCGGTCCAAAGCTCACGGAACCTTTTACTGGTTCTAAAACCATAACCAGAGGAAGCACACCGCACCTATTGGATCTTACAACACATGACCATTACCAGGTTTACATAAACCTCGATTAAATTTATATTTATGACCTGACCAAGTGAACTGTTTGACTACAAATACAACAACGTTTTCCATGTTTACACACGAAGATTAATGTCCAAGGGGGATTCCTGTCCTCTGTTTTCGCCATGGGCATTTATTTATGATGTTTATTGATACTTATGACTGAGTCATTGTTGAAACTTATAAATGTTTTGTTATAAATCATCTTGCTACAAATTTAGAAACCATTAACTAGACTGCTCAGCTAAGCTACCGAGTTCTTTGAAAGTTACCATCGCAGTTTCACAATTACCAGTGAAAGTTATTGTATCCATTATTAATACAATCACACACACACACACACACACACACACACACACACACACACACACACAATGTTTAAGCTTCGTAATGCTCGACCATGAGCGGTAAAATATCAAGAAAATAGAAAACATAAATAAGTTTTTTTTTTAATTAATAAAATTATTATTTAGCTATTTAACTATAATATAAATAAAATAGTTACATAAACATACCACAAAAACTATAATAGGTCGGTCTTTCAGAGCGAGATACCCACATTTCCAAAAATAAGAATGTTTAAACTAATACTAAATTTGATATGGGAATACCTCCCCCCCCCCTTTTCCCCCAAATAACTACAAATTTATACTCTAAAATATGATAATTCTTTATATATTTTGATACTTATTAGACATTTCGAGTATGTCAGTTATTAAAGAAAAACATATCATAGATAAGGATAAATATTTTGTACGCCAGACGTCTACAAAAGACTAATCAGTATCGATCGAATCAAAATAAATTATACAGGTCAAATAGATTACGAAATTGAAGAGTATTGGGATTCCAAAATTCTGAAAGGTTTTGCCAAATACAAATGTACAGCAAAAGCAGAGTTAGTAATATAATTTAACATCTAAACATTCCACTGCTAAAATCAATATAGTTGTTGATTTTTGTCTTTAAAAAGCCGAAACTCATGATCAATCAAGTATGCTGACGTACTAGTAAAAGTCTAAGTTCCCGTCGATATAAATAGACATGAATATGATAACATGTAAAACGTACCAGTTGACAAACAAAAATTATATCGGAAAACATATGAAATATAATGATATTAAGAGATATATCATTTCTTTTGACTACACTTTCTCAAGCATACACGTTTTAGCTTAAATATCAGCGAAGCAAGCAACGGTCACTTACGACATCAATTGGTACAACACAACTTAAATGAACTGCACAAGTTATCAAAATGTATTTATTCTCGTATTCGTAAGCAGATGAAATTTATATATTGTATTCACATTCACGAATTTACGAAATTTTCTGTTTCGTTTTCCCTGATCCTTACTTTTTATGTTCAGTTCAGTTCCGTCTTTTAGAAGCGTATCAGCCATTTTGTATTTTAAAAAGACGAAATTAAACGAAAGTGAGATAACAATCTGTCTTATAGTATGTACAGTTATCGGTATTTATTTCAATTGGATTTAAATACATAAGTTTTATTTTCGCTGGAATTATCTCATGAAGATAATGATGAAACATAGATTTCCAATGAAATCGGTAAATATATTATAATGATAATACAATAAGAGATATGATAAATTTGCACATGCCATACAACTTTCATCTTTTTTACAATTTGACTTTATTTGATAAATTATCGACTCACGTCCATTTATTCGACAATGACTAAAACATCCATTTAAGAAATCTATGAACGTCATTTGCTTAGATGAGAAATTGTTAGCTTTGATTGAAGTTTACTTTGCTTCCAAAAAAAATTTATAAACAGTTTCTGTGATGCGAGACATATTCCTTTATTTAAGAATCACTCGAAAATTCCTCCATTAAATCTATGACTTCCTCGAGTTTATTTGCAAATTGTAGGTCTTTACTTTTTTCCATGTCCTCAAAATCATCAATAATCTAAAAAAAAAAGACAGTATATATTTGTAAGTTTAAGACCGAACCGATGAAATAAGATCCTTACAAAGTTACAAAACACGGACCATTTCAAACAGTTCCATCTATTAACTTTAAAAAACAAGTCTTTTATAACTAAAATTCTTCAAAAACCTCTAGCAACAGGAATAATACTTGTTGATTTTTTTTTCTGACACCTTACATTATCTTTTTATACATATGTTAAATGAAGACAATTTACGAAGTCTTACTATTGACTTGTCAAATTATGACTAAAATGTTTTCAAATATTCACAAAACTAACAATGATTCTTCAATAATGCACATTAGGAAACGATAGATTAGAATAGAGCACTTAAAATATTGTGTAAATTGACCTGGCTTATGTTTGCTTACTTCAGATTTATACTTCCCAATAAACAAATTATACAAGTGATGAAGAGTAGATTGTCGACTGAACTTCAATTCTGCTTTCTGTGTCTGAAATGAATAAGTCAAAATGTTTGTCTACCCCATACAGATGACAATATCATATAACAAAAGTTAGATTTCATTTTGAATTTACACGCGCATGCAATAGAACCTACGCTAAAATGTAGTCAAGTGACACAAAGGTGATTTGGTATACCTTTGTAATTATCAAGATATAGCATAAACGTGAATGGGACATGAACACAACAAAAAGTAATGTAATATATATCATATTAAAACAATGTTTGTACATCACAAAGTATCCATCAGATTTTCTCAATGAGCATCTGAAATCACTGATAAACATGTAGAATTGATAACATAAAATAGAACTATAATTACATTAGATATTTCTGCTAATTCACTCCAGAATTCTTGATCATTCACTGGCTCTACTCGTATGAAGAAAGGAGCGATGAGTTTTCTATATCTTGGTATATCTTTATGGAACAATAATTTCTGTGGTGGTGACTCCTGTTTAATTTCATGTAAAAATATAATTACTCATGCTTCCTTTGAAACAGAATTTTAGCAATAATATTTGCGTGCATATATTTTATTTGAAATGTTACTCTTTCATCTTACCGAAAAATCGTAATTTGGCAATGTAACCAATTCAACAATACAGTTATTCGACATTCGTTTCAGTGCGTTTAGATTGTGGCAAATTCTTTATGGCATCATCTAAGTAAATAAGTGAAATACAACAGCATAAACTAAAACTGTCTATAAATCAGATAATTCAGTTAAATAAAAATCTGACCTTGTTAACTTTGTGGGCTGTCTGCGTAAAGCTTTCTACAAACACTTGTCTAAGAATGTCCAAACATGGTTCAACATGACCAGGCACATTGACATCGAACAGTATGTCTGGTTTTCCTATCAATGGAGCCCAAACTCGCGCGGCATAACTAAATTAGAAAATACAAAATTAGAAATTAATATCTACAGTATTAAAAATAAAGTGCGGAACACCTAACATGATGTTTCATGTTCTCGGACTGAAAACAAATTGTTTGTATCATGATGAAATAATATAGTTCATCAAGTATCTTCCTAATAGCATGCACATATACTGGGTAAATAAAAAATAAGTTAGATGGATTTGGTCCCTTTTCGTTTGTCCTTTTTGGTCATATAACTCTTCAACTCTTTCGTTTTTTTACATCATTGGCTTTCAAATTTTTGGCTTTGAGCGTTCCTGATGAAGGAAAATATACTAAGTACTTCGGACGCATGCAATTTATAAATGTTATTTTGACATTAATATAGAATAAAAATATATGTTGTAGCATAGCGTAAGAGAAAGAAACTTTAAACCGATATATTTCACCGTTAAACAGATGTATGTGTGTCTAAAATTCACTATTAAATTTGAAAAATAATCTTTATTGAAGCTATATGCTTACATGAATAAATATAAGGAACACTCACCACTCATTTTTCCATGCTTGTAGAACATCGGACTCAATTTTATAGTCGTTTCCCAATTTATCTAACATGCAGAGGAAGTATCGAATTGATATGGACAGTGATTGAGAGTCTATCAATCCCTCAAACGTTGAATCAATGTAGTCGGTAAGGAGCAACTGGAGATAAGTAAGTGAATATAAATGCAAAGCGTTCCAACTACATGCTAACTGGAATGTTCTGTTTTGCTTTTCTCAATGAAACCGACGATGAAAGGCATCACTTGATTTTAACTTGCTTTTTCATATATATATATATATATATATATAGAAGTCTATAAAAAGGACCAACCAGCAAATTTACTATGTACCGGATCGTCTAGAATAGACGATACTGTGCAGATAAGGAAAAAAATTATATAAGTCTAGAGATTTGCACAACGATACTAATATAAGATGGTATTATACGAAGATGTTGTTAATAAATCGTGTTGACAAATATTTCGGCTTAACAAATAGCCTTCTTCGGTGTCAATTATTTTATTGTTAAAATAATTGACACCGAAGAAGGCTATTTGTTAAGCCGAAATATTTGTCAACACGATTTATTAACAACATCTTCATATAATACCATCTTATATTAGTATCGTTGTGCAAATCTCTAGACTTATATATATATATATATATATATATTTATGTAAGCATCAGATCTTTGTCCAGCCTCAAATCTATGTCCTTTCCTCAAATATGTGTCCTATTCTATATGGTGTCATAAATGAATGATCTTTCTTTTCTCAAATCTGTGTCCTTTTCAACAAGTCATGCATTGTCACATGTTGACGTCAGAAATAATTTGTTGTCAAAGATTTCACATTCGAATTAAATCCACATCAATTAAGGCCATTGAAAAGTACACGTGTGTTGATATATGAACTAGAGGGGTTCGAAAGGAATAAATTACTCTGGGAATAAGGGTGACTAAACCAAGGAAAGAGAAGAAGAGAACTTAAATAGAGTGGAGTACAAATTAGGAATATAATAGAAAAAAGTTTTGAGAGATTTTCGTTAGGGGCTTACGGGATGGAGGGAATGGGGAGAAGAAGGAGGGAAATAGGAATCAGGGGAACGCCCAAATCTTTAATGCTAATGGTTAATGGTTAAATAGATTCCTGACTTTTTTTAGTTGAAATTATGTGCTTTGTCAAGCCCTTTCCAACTGATTTTTTGTTGTGTACCAGATTAGATAGTGGCTGAGCACTTCAACCCCTCTGTATTCTTTCTGTGACTGTGTAAGTCACGTCACATTACTGCAAACTAACCTTATGAACAAGACACGAATTAGAATGAACAAAGGATCAAAGATTTGAGTGTCCAGACGTCATGGGATAGAGATTTGAGACATAACATAGATTTAGCTCTGCAATATATTATCATCTTTGTGGAACACATTTTACCTCAGGTATTTACGGATATTTACGGAACGAATTCATAAAAAAATTTAAAAAAAACAATAAAAGATCAGAGTGATTTAGATTATAGTTAAACTTATGAAACTATTGTTAAGGATTCAGACTCGACCGCAACAGATTACGACTAGAGAGAAAGTTAAAAACAATATACATCCTCAACGATTTTTCTTCGTTTCGAAAGTACTTCCGTACTTTAAATTTCTTATATATGAAAACATCAAGAGATGAAATGTTTGCTCAGTCTCGGTTTTAATGATATAAGGTATTTTTGAATACTACAGGAAATATGGATGCAGATGGAATGGAATATCAAATGCGTCTTTCACCAAATAATCAAGGTTGACAAAACATGGTACAATATTTGACATTGGGCAAGCAGATGTTACTCTCGACCTCGGACAATTCGAACCTGGGATAAATCAAATAGCTATGTCGAGTTGCTTCGAATTCAACTTATTAATGTTCGACTGTATGACTTATTGTAATGTGGCTATGTAATCATGGTGTTTTATAATGTATACAAATGTTGAATATTTTTAGATAAAATCGTAAAATGAAAAAAAAATTAAAAAAAACATTGCAATTTTATATTGATATAAAGATGGACACAAATGGAGTCCAGAATATTTGACATTTAGATGTAAAATCGTTAGTTTTGTGTCGAGCCGTTGACCTTGGATTCTCACATTAGTGATTCTGTTCAAAAATGTGTTGGTGATTGTGTCACAGTGTTTAAAAAGTGCAATCATGAATATTATCATATACATAAAAAAAAAGTCTTCGGTTTGTCTATGAGAAGTTCGATAAAAGGACCGTCGTCGAGTCGGAAACAATCTTTGAAATTATGACCATTCGGAAACAGGAGCTTCTTCAACTATACAAATTCTCATGTTAACACTACCCTTGGGAATACAGTGATGTCACTAGACACAATATAATTGTTTTTATCATACGCTCGTTTCCTGCCTAAATTTCAATCGATTTAGATTTATCGTAACTAAAATGTAGGAATAAACAGTGTTGGTTTATTCTTACCCATAGGGTAAAAGAAGAGCTATTATTGTGACTTTTCAGTTTGCAGTAATACCGAAAGATCATCTGCATACGCGAGTAAACGACTTTTTACATATTAGTTGATTAAACATTCCAGGGAGTGTATTACTTTTAATAGTTTCATTGATAGATGGTTGGATTTAAAAGTTATTGAACGAAGGGTTCTTGCTGGTAAAATTCCGACAACAGCCAGAAACAACTTGTTTAGACTGGGCCGGTTTATCTTGTCCATTGATGTACCAAAATCCTTAGCATAAAGACTAACGATATCATTTGAACGAGAACCAGAACACTTGTTCACGTTTCAGTGGAGTTGAATGATAACTGGTCCATTATATAAGGCTTTTGTTTGCTAACTTTAGCTTTAAATTAAAGGGGTTTATCATTTCAATCTTACCTTTGTATGAAATAATCGATTCAAAAAGATGTCACCAAAGTCAGATTCTCTATTAGACTTTATGTCATCCGGAAGATTTGGCTAAAATATATGTAAAGTCTCATATATAAATGTACGCAATAATATGTGTTATTTTTTTAACTTACATCAAACAAAAATGTATAACTATTTCATTCCGAACACGAAACAAAAAAGAAGAAAGATAAGACTGTTGTCTTGCCCGATATATAGAATATAAACTGTAAAATGCATTAAAGTTTCAAACGGCATATTGAAGGGTCTATAAAAATCATCAAAATATATGAAAATAAAGAATTCAACAAAAACGGGGAACAAATATGTGAACAACCCAGTGATGAGATATGCACAACTACTAAATGGTGTATTTAATGTCAAGTGAATTATCAATGATCTGTGAAGAAAAGTTAAAAGCTGAAACGTTAGTAGAAGCGACATACTTTAGCAAAGAATTTACTTAATGTGAGTATCGGACGTATATGTATTCTAAAATGTTATTCACGAAATAAAATATGACACTTGTTGCACGAACTGTCATGTGATAACATATTGAAAATCGGTAAACTGCTATCGCCTAAATTTATCAATTGATCATCAATTGGTCATTGAGGTTAACGTTAGGGAGACCAAAAACAAACCTCTAAAAAACCATCAATGCATATATGAATACAGAGTGGAGAGGAAAAAAACCCCAGAATAACGGAATAAGTCAGTAAATATGTCAGATATGTTAGTAAAATAGTATGCATTAAGAAGTCTCTTAAACGGAAAGTTATTTAATTGGTTATCATTAAAAAGCACCCACCCTTAGTATATGTCCTCAACTCATAAACTAATCAGGATATCAATTTACTTACTGAAAACGTTTCTTTTAGAGAAATATATTGACAAGCTTGACATTTTGACTGGGTATGAATTCGCATGGCGAATGATATATGCATACCATACTCTTACCTTGTCGAAGTTCCCGGTCTCCGTTTTGAGTGTATGCTATTCAATCAATGGCCTTGATTTATCATAAATTTTCTAGTTCATGCTATCTGTCAATAAGACAGACGACTAGAAATATATGAAATAAACAATGATGTTACAATCAATGAATAAATGATAATGAGTACAAAGTAACATGGGGGAAAAAACGAGAGTGAATCGATTAATTGAGGATTAAATGGGAAAGCTGTTAAAGTGATCATAATGTAATTTTGTCATTAATAAGCAATGCAGCTGAGTACATTAATTCTTAATTTATAAACAAAACAGGACATCAATTTACTTACCGAACAGGTTTCCTTAAAAGAAACACAAAACTAATATAAAAGAGGAGCAGGCATTGCAAAATATTTTATAGTAGGTCTTTTGATAGGATATATAGTAAAGTAATAAATATTTTTGGATGAGTAAAACTATGATAATTGGAATAAAATGCACAAATAATGAATTAATCATTATATGTAAAGGGAGAATTCATTAAAAATTTGTATTTAATGTAAAGGGAGACAACTGCAAGGTATTACTCTTAAACGGAAACATGTTTACATAATGTACTCTTTTAATATCTAGAAAGTTCAATATGTACATATTGAATGCACAGCTTTTAAGGAGTATAGCTCTTTTCCAACACAAAAATGCACATCAAAGAATACATCAACTATATAATAAATATTTATGAATTAATGAAACCCAAATGTAATAAGTCCTTCAACAGTCTTGCAGTTTTGAAATTCGAAACTTATATTTTATTTTTGTATTATTAAACGGGAAGAAATTGTTGAACCTCCGCAAACATAGTTTTGTAACATGAATAAATCTGTCTGTCCTTCCGCGTATCTACCGATGTGCATTGTAAGCGCAACTTCCCCCTAAACCGCTGGGCAGATAGTTATGAAAATTTCCACAGTTGTATAACACTATCTGATGATGTGCAGAAAGGATTATTATCCCTGTCTAACTTATTAATGATGAGAAAATAAAATCTTTTTTCTTTTTTATACAAATAGTATTGTACGGCCGTGTATCCTATTTGGGTTCACTCACTCACAGATTCAGTCTTTGTCGAAAAGTAATATAAGATATCCTTGAGTGATATATTTCATAACATGGTTATTGTCAATACTCGTGAGCGTCGTCGTCTTCTTACACTTTTTCGATAACAATAAAAGATGGGTCGAAACTGTAAAATGATAAGCAATGCAAAGTATATTTTTGACATGTGAGCTAATCAGGCTCTTATGAGACACTAATTCATTTTTGGTAACTTGCAATCTTAGTTTGACGAAGAAAAAAAAACTCTTATCCGAAATATGCAGGAACAATATTTTCTCTCGGAAATACATAACAGACTAAATAGCTGCTTATGAATATAGTGTAATGTTCTTCTGCATTGGAAAACTCTGGAAATAAGAGTATAGTGTAGTGTTCTACTGTATTTCAATACTCTGGAAATAAGAGTATAGTGTAATGTTCTACTGCATTTCAATACTCTGGAAATAAGAGTATAGTGTAGTGTTCTACTGCATTTCAATACTCTGGAAATAAGAGTATAGTGTAATGTTCTACTGCATTTCAATACTCTGGAAAGTGAGTACTCATTTGACGTAAATTCGACCAACAGCTGTTTTTTTTTAAACTATAAAAAATGCAATTCCTCCGCCCCCGCCAAACCCTCGGCCCAAAGAGACGACTCACTATATAGAGATACACTCAAACTTATTAACACGTAATTAGATTACAGATTCATTTGACAAATTAAGCCTTTAATAGCAAGAAAACATTTTAATATTTATTCTCTGTGGATACTACTCTCAAATAATTTTGCATTTTGAACGGACAGTCGTGTGGAGAGGATAAGTCTTTTTGAACTCAGAACCTGTTTTACGACACGTATTAATTAAGAAACACTAAATCATATAATGATAGGACTATGCTATACTTATTTAGACTATACCTTCTGCATCCAAATTGATCTGGCTTTAGTCTGCAATTTCTCATGTCAATATTCTTATCTCGGCAATATTTTATAAAAGAAAAGTATGTTGCAGTGAAAAGAGAATAGCTGCGATGCTTTCGATTGTGTCTTCTTTCTTTTCAAAAATAAACATTGTTTCTTGTAATCTGGGGAGGAAAACTGCTAACATCATCTATTTACACATATAGACATAAAATAATGACCCCTTGAACTGACAATCGTTTGGACAGGATATTTCCTATATACCTCCAAATTGTTTGCAAGACATGTGAATATACAACACATTTAATAAAAACACCATAAAGACCGAATTGTCCCTTTCAGGTTATACCTTGATCTGAATTAGTCAAAAACATTTAGCCTGTAATTTTACTTTTTATGTTCTTACACTTATCCCGGAAATATGACATAAATAGAAAATAAGTGTTTCATGGAAAGGGGTAGTAGCTATATATGATGCTGTTTGTTGTCACTCTCCTTTCTGTTCAAATGTGACACAATATTGTTTCTGTTATTCTTTGCAACTGCTCACATCACAATTTTTGAATACTCAACAGTTCTAAACGGGCAGTCGTTTAGACAGGGTGATCTTATATACCCTCAAATTCGTTTGCCAGGCGTATACAAATACCATACGCAGCTATACAAGTCACAATAAGAGTCGATAACTCTAGCGCTGCAGATCGGCTGGTAAAATGTCGATAAGTTCTTACATTTAATTATTTAATTATGTGCACTTTATCTCTACACCAGGTCACATTTCGATAAAAATGTTGTCAAATAAAGTAACCAAAAACAAATAATAAATTGTCCAAGAAGACCAAAATGACATAGAAGTTTACAACTATAGGTCACCTTACGGACTTCAACAATGAGCAAAACCCATACCGCATTGTCAACTATAAAAGGCCCCGAAATGAAAAATGTAAAACATTTCAAACGAGAAAAACTAGCGGCCTGATTTGTGTACAAAACCATGAACGAAAAACATATATGATATACAACACCTGTTTATAGGCTCCTGATTTGGGTCAAGCAGATACAGAATGTTAGCATGTTTAGAGTTTACCATTACCTGAACCGGTATTCTTATCCCGGAAATATGTTATGAAGTTGAGTATTTGTTGCAGAGAAAGTGGTTAGTAGATGTGATGCTATCAGTTATACCCCTTTCTTTTCAAAATGACACAGTATTGTTTCTTATATTCTGTGCAAACTGCTCAAAAGGAATACAAATTCGTGATAATTATAGATTATAACATGCCCTTCTCCATATTAGCCCTGGTATCATCCCGATACGTCCATATCAGCCCGAGGCTATAGCCGAGGGCCGATATGGGTCGAGGGATGTTACCTGGGTCAATATGGAAAAGACATGTTATAATCTATTTATCACATGTTTAACTTTTGCAGAAAATGGAAAAAAGTTCAACTATAACGATTAAATTAACCATAACAGGTAAAATCTAAAAAGATTTATCACATTTTCAATTATTTTTTTTTTTCGTTTGCTGCATACAAATTTATTGTAACATTTCCCTTTATTTTTGAATATGATAATACACAAAAGCGAGAATTTGGCATAACTGAACCTAAATCGATAACAGTTGGTTGGACATTGTTACAAGTGGCCATTGTAGCAGAATTCTTATAACTTTCAATACAAACACCGTCATTGTTCGCCATTGTCGTTAAGGACGCAAGACGTCACGTCATTTGGAATCAGGGCACAATAACAAATAACCACTTTTTTGCCCCGCGCAGCAATATGAGTAGGACAATTTTGCGGTTATTGCATATGCAAAACCCAATGTTTTCGTAAGAAATATGTGATAGAGGATTATACAATGCTTGATAAGGATTTTAATCCGTGATTACGATCATTCGAATTCAACGTAGATTTTAGGTGGTCCTAAATGCATAGAGTATGTCTTTCTTACAGTAATTATAGGAATGCTTAATAGCAGACAGACAAAGACCTTTATTAAAAGTAATCGGTTCGAGTCCGTTTTACCGGTATATAAAAGTCAAAATTTAATGTACATATACAAGTTAGCGCCGCCAACTTTCAGATGATCTGTACATATACGTCTTACTTTCCACTTTTTTTATCAGTAGCAAGAATATATATCCAATATGAAGGAGAACAATAGGGGATAAAAAGTAACTTTAAAAGTGAGTAAACGACTCGATTCCGTTTTTCCGTAGTAAAGTTTGCCGATAATTTAGTAATGTACCCTATAAACATGCAATTCATTCAGAAGCAAATTTGTGCTAATGTTGAATGACTCACTATGACTTTGAGACTTAGAACAGCAATAAAAACACTCATCCGTTATGATTTTATATCTCAAATTAATATCAATATCCTTTCTATTTCATCATTAAAAACAATCAATTGTATGATATATACTGAGAAAAAAAGTTTAACATCAAATAATTTTAATATCATATTCAAAATTTAAATATTCTTCTAAACATAACAATAAACAAACTATCATAACAAAGAAAATCAACCAAAAGACTAAATTCTTAATCAACAGATACATTTATTAAAAATATATTTCCGCAACTTTGTAAATTGTCATTTCAAAAGTTTTTTTAATGAGATATATGTTTCTAAACTTTTTTTACTCGGTAGTTCATGAAATAAAGCAAAAATATATACTTACACTTTTCATTGGAATTTTTGCTTAAAAATCGTGGAACATTAGTCAATGAATTGAATTAAAAAACGTATACAGATAAATAAAGTACATTTCAGAAGTTTATACGGCCAGTCCGATAACTGTAATAACATATTATTTATGTAGATAATTCGTATATGAACTTGACACCTGTTAGAACTTTTCGGAACGCAAAGGATATTCAATTTACATCAGATAACATTTGTGTTCGAAACGAGATGCTAGATTATAAGGTCGTTAATGGCTCTTCCGTCACTTTTATTTGTTTAAATGTTAATTAACAAGGACTGAATGGTAACAGATTTATTTGGTTCAGTTGCACATACGCCTTATTTCGATACATAACAACAACGAAGGGGGTTAAGAACTACGGTGAAAAAATATTTGAAAACTGTGAGTTTCTGCTGCATCAGTAATATTTAAATTCGGTTTGTGATAATGTTCGTAATTGAAATTGAGGTTGTCCATTTAAGATTTAAAATCACTGGCTGTTGATAAGTTTTATTTCATCGAGTGAAAGGTAGTATAGGATCACTTAGAATTGTTTATTAATTCGTCCTTTTCATGTTAGGTTATAAACGTATGCACAACATATTCTCTTATCGACAAGTGATGTCTAGTGTCAATTCCTTATTTCTTTGATTTTATTTATTCGATATATATCTTTTTAACAAAAGTACTTATTTACAAAATCATCAATCCCCTCCCCTCCCTCCATTTTGAAATTGAAAACGGTACCGCGAATGTGAGCTGGTTCCTATTTTAATTTTTTCTTAGGGGTAACAGATATAGGGGAGACATTATTTTAGATCTCGACAGCTTCTATTCTTATTTCAGTATTAGTTCAATGAAAAGATAACTAAATTTTAAAATATACATAAAAATGACAATTCATCAATATGATTTACCATCTCAAATAAAAGAACTGCTTATTAAAACTTGAAGACATATTTTCTTCATAAAATTAAAATTTCCAGGATAAGAGTATTTTGTAAGAGTAATTTATCGGCATAAAAGTAATTCCCGGATAAGTGTATGACAAACATACATGTTTTGTACTACCAGCATTTTATGATAGTATAAAGCATGTACTGAGAATTTCATGTCATATTAAGAATACACAAAAAATTAGAATATTTTTTGGAATAATGTTATAAGGACAATCTGCAATAAAATAATTATCTTTAATTCTATGGGACTCATGAGCATGTGAATTAGAACATGCAGAATGACATATCGTTAATAGCAACATTTATCGAAAATAAAAGATAATTAATATACATGTACCAAGTGCCATTTTTGTGTTTCAGAAACCTCGCCTTCGTCATTGCTTGACATCAGTAATGTAATATCCTCTGATGTAACACTTTCAGTTCGAAATCCTGATGAATTAGCTGGAAAATTAAAATAAGAACTGAAGAACATTTCACTAATACAATATATAACAGTTTAGCAGAATACAAGAAAAATATAGTTGCTGCATTTCAATCTACTATAATAGAATTAATAATGGAAACGGGGAAGTTCCAAAGAAACAACAACCCGAACAAAGAGCAGAAAACAGCCCACCGATTGGTCTTCAACGCAGCGAAAAAAAAATCCCATAACCGGAGTCGGGCTCCAGCTAAACCCCTAAACAATAATGTATACTAGTTCAGCGAAATTGAAGCCTAACCAAACTCCGAAACATATAAATGAACCAAATAAAGAAAAAAAAACCACAGAAGACTAACACAGATAAATGGTTCCTGACTAGGGGCGAAAATGAGGCAGGTTTAAACATATTTTGTTAGATCTTAACCCTCACGCTGTACCTCTACCTACGATATTTTACCAGTATTAAAATCGACGGCGTTTGATATAGCATCTGACAAAAAGGTATCAAGAATGTAATGTAAATATCACAAAACACATACAAACTACAACAACTCAAGTCTGGGCGATAACACAACTGAAAAGGGTATCTATGAAGTAATTAAAAAAGTGTTTGCATAAGTAATGTTTTGAAAACTTTCATCTAAAACATACAAAAATATTTACCATATACCTCCTCTTCGTCAATTTGCTTGTACATTAGGGCCATTCTACAGTTATCGCTAACCTTATAATGTTTTAAGGTATTTAGACATATCAGTCCATTGTTTCTGTCACTGGTGTTGTCTATATCATTCAACGTAAGTTTGCCTGCTTTTCCTTCTTGCCATTCTAAGGTATGAATAATGAATGAATACTATTGCATGTACTATTATGCTTCAAATCGTATAATATCAAAAGTTATTTGAAAGAAAAAGAAAATGACTTTTAAAACTCACACGCTGTTGATGTATTGTATTTCACTAAAATAAAACATTTAAAATAAAAGAACAGAGTTCCAATGTCCCCCGCGTTGTACATATTTTATCTATCCAAGGGCAATAACTAAAAAAAAAACACTTTTTTTGTTGTTCTTTAAAACAGTTTATAAATAAAAAGTGTGCGCGAGGGACAAACAAGTTTTTGTTACTGTATACTAAAAAATTAAAACAGACCTTAAAGGGCATTACTTATAGTAAACTATAAGTTTTATTCAAAATTGTACCTGTGAGAGCGCTAACGAGGCCATTTAAAAAAAAAATAACATTTCCAAGGGTCATAACTCTTTTAAAAAAAGTCGATCGTCCACCATTATATAACTTGTTCGAGATATTGCTGATATAAACCTATAGTATAAGTTTAATACAAATCTGGCAAGAATTATACCTGTGAGAGCGCTAACGAGGCCATTTTCCATAAATATGATATTTCCAAGAGTCATAACTCTTTTTAAAAAATACGATCGTCCACCATTATACAATTTGTCCGAGATATTGCTGATATTAACCTATATTATAAGTTTTATAAAAATCTGGCAATAATTGTACCCGTGAGAGCGCTAACGAGGCCATTTTCCATAAATTTAGTATTTCCAAGGGTCATAACTCTTTTTAAAAAAGTCGATCGTCCACCGTTAGAGTACTTGTCCAAGATATTGCTAATATTAACCTATAGTATAAGTTTTATAAAAATCTGGCAAGAATTGTACCTGTGAGAGCGCTAACAAGACCGGACGGACACGGACGGACGCCCGGCATTTCCATGTCCCCCGCAACGCGTTACGTGGGGGACAAAAAAATAAAAGTGCTAAAGCCTCAAATGAATGCCAAAATTTCATATTCATGAAAAATGTCATTTAGAAATCAAATACATTTATTATGAAACACAATTTGTATAAGATATGTGCATTGATCTCACAACTACATTCGAAGTGTTTAAGCTACATTCGCATTAAAACTTGAACAGTAATATGACATAATACTTGCTTCAAGCATTTAATTAGATGCTTGTATTTGTAGCGTTGAATGTTTTTATCTACAGTACGTCATCATGTGAGTACAGATGTATAACCATATTAGTTAAAAGAAACTTTGAATTAATCATTCGATAGGCCCACACGATGCAAGCAAGGATATGATATAATTTAAGCCAAAATTGCTTTCCGAATGATAAACAATAATGATCTTAACAATGATATTAAACAGTAAAAAAAAATCCCCCTGAAGCTCCATTGACTGAACGACAAGCCTTGTTTTCTAAAAAAAGATCGATTTAGATAGAAAAATGGATTTCTTTTATTAACAACGAAAAGAAAGTTACATAAAGTGAAAATGTGATATCCCACAAAGCTACACACAGTCTGTTCTACTTTTTTTTTTATCAAAGGTTGTTTACGTATCATTTATATAATTAAAACATATGGTGGTTGTCTTGTTGTATTAATCAAAGTGTTATATACTAAAATTTATCATATGGTCATAGTTAAGACTACGTTACATATACAATTTAGAGACAATTACCAAAATGTGGATACTGTAGTTTTAACATTAAATGAAGTTTCTAAAGTTATATATAATATATAATATAAGTAAAGTCATTCTGTTTCTTTCAAACGTAAATCATGTACTTTTTTCACATGATATTAGCAATGACGATAAATAAAGGCAACAGTAGTATACCGCTGTTCGAAATTCATAAATCGATTGAGAAAAAAACAAATCCGGGTTACAAACTAAACATATTCAAACACAATTCAGCAATATCAATCTCAATTTGTATTTTCTACATAAGGAAATGATATGACAGATGTTTTCCATTCGTTTGATATGTTTGAGCTTCTGGTTTTGCCATTTGTTAAAGGACTATCCGTTTTGAATTTTCCTTGGAGTTCGGTATTTTTGTTATTTTATTTTTTATAAATAGGAAATTTAAGTAATCATTTGTGTTGTTCCTTTGTTATCCGTTTACTCAAACCTGCCAGGGTAAACGACATTTATGAATGCTTGGCACACTTTATGAAAAATCGTATTGTTATGTATTGTGGTTATAATTACCTACCTAAAGAAAGTTCATCATTGTGTGGAATCTCTGAAGCAGGTTTATTTTTATAAATCTGTGCACAACATTTCTGTTTCACCTGCGATATTGTATCACAGTCAAGAACTTTCACAGGATAATGCTGGTCACTATTTCCATTCAAATCTATCTGTAAAGTCTAAATAAAAAAAATAAAAAAACGTCATAAAGTGACAATTAATAATAGCATACTAATACAAATCCCTTCTCGTCCATTCAAATTGTTCTGTACATAAAGATAAAATTGAAATGAGCATTACGTGCCTTTCTGATGATTATATTTTATTTCAACACGTTTAAAAAATCAAGTTTAATAATACATTTCAGTTTTATAATAAATAATATAATTACTTTATTGATATAACTGTTTCCACTCTTCAGTTTAATTGAAGTTCACATAACCCCCCCGATATTTAAGAACAATAATTGCTTAACCTGCAGACGCATTTACGTTCAGTTCTTATTTTGTTTTGAAAGTGTTATTTCCTGAATTATTAAGTTTCATAATTATGTAGGTTTTTTTATCGACTATTTTATGTCTGTTCGACCGTTCTTATACAACGTGTAATCAGTCTTTCTTCGATCCTGGTATCGTAATGACTTTATTTACATCCACTGAGTCGCTGCCACTGCTGGTCGATGTATCCACCCTGAGTGCATCACCAACACATTAATCATCACTTCTGTGCTGACATGAATTACCAGTTATATGGTCATAATTATGAACTAACTGTTTATAGCCGGCGAGTGACATTTTCCTAAAAGACTCTTAGTTAAGGACTTTAATGCACCTATCTAACACACGGCTATATTATATATCATTCGAAAGCTTGTTATCTGTACGTTCTGTTTTGCTCGGTGGTAAAATAAATCGTATTGTGCAATTTCCGTTAAAACAAGGTCAAAGGTCAAGTATAAACATTCCAAAATGTGTGCAGAATCAAACAAAATGCCATTTTCTGGTTATTGTATGATACATATTTTTCAAAATATCATACAAGTTTCATAGAACGGGATACACTAATTATAGATCAAACAAAAACTAAGAGGTTAGATGCGCAATAATTATACAAAATGGCAATTCCTGAAAAATCCTCCAAAAAGTAGACAATGCTAAAAGTAAAATATATCTTATGTGATCGATATTTATACGACAAAAACTAAAAAAAAATGTAATGGTTGCTAGGCCAAGGAAATGTTTTGCATAATTTTATAATGCAACTTATGTATAATGTTCTTGCAACAGCCTTATATTGAAGGTTTTGCAGTTGCCCAAAATAATACTGCCATCTGCGAAAATAGATCATATTGCTTCTATGTGTTAATCGATTTTGTCAATATCAGGAAGACAAAAATTTTTTTTTTATAAATTTAGAAGAGGTAAATAAATTTCGAAAAGAAACATACGATCTAAACACAGTAGAAATATGTCTTTTCGAAGTCGAGCTTATTTACCTTTTGAAGTCATATTGAAATGCCAACATTACCTTTCTCCTAAATCGGCGGCAATATTAAAATGAGTTATCTACGTTAAGAAGCATTTTGTTATCTTTAGCATGATATCAAAGAACTAGAAATAACGCTGCTGCTTTTAAGCTTAAGAAAATGTAAGACATGTTAAACGTGGCCAGAAGTTAAATCTTGTTAATTGTGACTTCAAATTACTTGTCAGTTAGTGAAAGAAAGAAAAGGTTCTTGAACAGAGAAATATTTTTAATGCTCATGAATAACGTAAACGGAACTAGTTTTATTGCACCATATGCGCATTGGGACAATTAATATCTCTTAAGTGATTCTCGAGACCACAATATATAAAAATCTAAAACCTAATACAAAGGACAAAATTAAAGCCAAACTAGGACAAGGATTTAGAGCTACAAAATGTATGCACGAAGGGTATTCTATCTTTCGCTATATTAATTTGAAGTCATTTTTAACAAAGCAACATGCATACTATTTCCTTGCAATAGTGTTTTAAATAGAAATTTAAAAGCGAATATTGTAAAGAGTATTCATTTGAATATTTAAACGGTAGTGTTCGCTTTTATATTTCGTCGTATAGTTTTGTGGACTGCTTTTTGTTTGTTTTGTTTTGTTTTGGTCATGATGATATATGAGTTAATTCGATTCATGATCAAGAAGTGGAATAAAAGCCCTGTTCATTGATATTTGTTTTAGTTTTTTCAATGTATTGTGTGCAATTTTGTCAAATGTACATTTACTCTATATCGTTTTATTTTCTATGGGTTGAGATTGTTCCCGTAGTATCCTTTTTACTTTAAAGACACTTATTGCAGTAAAGAAAAAATAGCAATTTTACATCTCCCATACACCTGTAATGCAAAACCATAGCCCAGCAAAGTTTGGCTCGTAGTCGTCCAAATATATATCTATCTTTCACAAATTTATTTGTCACATGCAGTTTAATCAGCAACATCTAAGCCTTTTTTTCTCGTGTTATCTTCGTAGGGACGCGCGATTGATGAATGGATGGCTGCATGTCTAACATCAAATTGTAAATTGAATGCATATTCAGGACGAGAACATGATAATGTGATATGAATATAGAACCTTCTTTGTACTGGGCAGTATTTTTCAAACGTGCTAGTGCACATGATGACAGTCCGGAGGAAGATATGTCAACCTACCCAGAAACTCTATTCTGAATCCGGGCAGATCAGACTTTGTTCTTACACTTTATTGCCGCGTGCTTTACGGAGAAGCAGCCAATACAATTTTCCAAATATTTGATTTAACCAGCCCAGGGATCAAGCACACTACCTAACACACCAGAGACAAGCACGCTACCACAAATGATCGAAACCAAAGCAACATCGATGGCTTAATATAGATATAAGAAGATGTGGTATGACTGCCAATGAGACAACGATCCACCAGAGACCATATGAAATAGACGTTAGGAACTATAGGTCAAATAATGAGCAAAGCCCATACCACATAGTAAGCCAAACTAGACCCTGAAATAATGACAAAAATAAAACATTTTAAACGTGAAAAACTAACGGCCTGATTAATGTACAAAACAATAAATGAAAAACAAACAAGATATACAGCAACACACGACAGTCACTCAATTACAGGCTTCTGACTCGAGATAGACACATAAAGGATGTGGCGGTGTTAAACATGCCATCGGGCGCCGAACCTTCCCACTGACCATAAAACTGTGGTGCAACAGCACAACACAAGACCAAATTGTACAATACATGAACACAAAACCAATATGATAAAATTTGACCGTAATATACGACAACCCATGAATAACAGCACCTGAATTGGGACAGGCACATATAGAATGTAGCAGGGTTAAACGTTTTAACGGGCTCCCTACACTCCCGCTATCTGGGACTGTGGTTTATAAGCACAACATAAGAACAAACTATACAAATCAGTTGAAAAGAGTACTTGCAGTTATTGAAAGCTAGTTCAAAGCCTACTTGAATACGTTAAGAGCAACAAAAAAAAAAAAAAAAAAAGACAAACACATCAACCTTTTAAGGGAGTTTGGACCTTAGTCTCGTAATAATTTCTCAATTAATCAACAGAGAATTTAAGAAAGTTTGAATGACAGTCAAACTTACTGCAACGTGTCAATTATCAGTTTTTTTTTATTAGATTACAAGTGTTCTTAGTTCGGACAGGCCGAGTGATCTTTACAATGTCTAGTATATGATAGTTTTAACATATTTATCTGTCATCGATGAATTTGTGAATTTAAAGAACGAGAACAAGGCATACTACAGTTGAAGCAGCCAAGAAGACGAGTTTTCTAGTTGTAAAGACGAATGTCATAAAAGATAAGAGAAATCTTCTAAAATTTCATTGTTTATTAATTTTATTTTTATTTATTTGTGTGTGCATTTCGTTGTATGAATAACTTTATATAGATAAAGGTTTGTAATTTCAACATTCAACGTTGATGAAGAAATGAGTTTTTTCTTACAGCGTAGCAGTTATGATCCATATTGAAATATCCGATTTTAAGTTTCGCCCCCTAAATTACCACAAAAAACATAATACCAGAATGTGTTATTTGCTTTCAATGTTTTCCCATTTTTTGAGAATTGTGTTTTTAAACAACCTAATATTGACAAACAGTGGTAAACAGCTATGTTTTTGCAGATGGCGGTATTTTGGGCAACTGCATGGGTTGTTATGAATGGCTGTCCAGTTAGTATAAAGCGGGCTTGTAGTAAATTGATGTTGTCAAAAACTTCTTTGTCACTAAATAAAGGATCTAATTGGGTTTTAGGTATTACCAGACGAATCACAAAATTGTTTTGGGGGTTTTCACTCACTTTTATCATTTTTACAGGATTCCAAATAACAAGGTGCTCTCTATGGAAAACACGTTTTGAATACATAAAAGTCCGCATAATAAGTGACTATTAATCTCTTTTCTAAAGGTTTTTCTATTAGCATACATTATTTCAATATAGAAAAGACAGAATCTGAAAGAATGCTGACATCTTGGAAAATATGAAAATGTTCGTCCTTGACCTTTGATCTTGATTTCATGGAAATTACACCGTACGTATTTCTTACGACCGGGAAAAACAGAAAGTACAGATGATCAGCTTTCGAATAATATATGATCTAGCCGTGTGTTAGGTGCAGGGTTTCCGCTGGCGGCTCCATTTTCGCATTTTCCGTAAAAATAAAAATTGTGGCGATTAAAATTAATTATTGGCGAAAGAATTATAACGGTTCGTTGTCCATCTTGTTTATATTTTTTCGGGTTTCTCGGACTTTTTCTCTGATCAAACAATACTAGGATTTCACCTTGAACTCGTCACGCGTTACGATTTTGATAGAAAATTAATAATCAGCTGATTGCATTTTAATATATCTATCGGCAACAATGGGTTAGTTAATAAAGGAGTTTATTGTGTTGTTTAATGAAATTGTGTGGTTAAATGGGTTCACCTGTCACCTAAAGGATTTTTTACAACTTTGATAGAAATATCGATAATATCTTGAAGTGGGTACTTCAAAATCGTTTTATCAACGCACGTGTTATGAGCATAGTTTTACGTCTCAATGTTTTTAACGATGGTACGTGAAAGAAAACTGTTGTTATGAAATTTTCAAAAGAAAATTATCTGACTTTAGCCTTTATTATTCAAGTAGACGGGAAGTATCCGACAAACTTATGAAGATGAATCGCGTGTCCTCAGAAGTCAAATATGATGATTTCCTGATTTATATTGCAATTTTACAGTATCTTTTTAAAAGTTTAAAAATAATGTTTATGTAATTTTGCGAAACAAATATTGATTTGGCGAAAGAGGTGGCGAAAAAGAAAATTGACCCAGGGGAAACCCTGGTGTGGTTGGTGCATTAAAAATTAATTGTTATGGTTAATGTCACTCAACCATTACAAAACGTACAGTTTCTTAACTGTTTTGATGTGAGTGTCACTGATGAATCTGTTGTAGATGAAATACTCGCCTGGCGTTTAAAATTGTAAGCCTGGTATCGTTAATGAGATTATTAACCTTTACGACGTAGGTGTTCCATTAATATTTTTTTTTCATTTTTGCATCCCTTTTAAGTAATTCTTTTTAAAATTGTTTAATCATAAATACAAATTCAGAATAATATCAATTAAACTGATTGATTCTAAAAAATACAATACAATCTAAAATTATCTAAATCTTTTAAAAGATAAAACCTGTTTGAAATTAGACAAAACAAACTGACGAATAATAAAATAATTCTAAGTAAACTCTAATGAGTTTGTTTAATTCGTTCTGGGTCGAACCAGTGTGAAGAGGCTATGAAAGTACGATATTATTAAAAGAAACATTACTTATATTTTACATACAATAGTTTGATGTTCTATCCTCATTTTTAGAAGCTTTTCCTCTGCTATGGTGTTTTTTGAATTAGTCGTAAGTGCATCAATTGGCGCCATTTCAATAATTGTCTGTACTGCTTTGTATAACATAAACAGTTGCATACCGCTATGTGACTGTAAACAAGAATGAAACATCGTATTTCAAATGAAAATGACGAAAGGAATTGTTTAAGTTTTTCCTATTTCGACTTCAAATTCTGATAATAAAATTTAAGAAACATATGTACAACCCTGATTATATTCTTTATTTCAGAAATTTCTTTTTAAGACATGAATAGTGATAACAATTATTCAGTTTTTAATTAAAATATTGAGAATACAAAAAGAAGAAACATACAATCTGCTGCGTCAAACCTTAAGTAGTAGTCATATTTACATATCGTAAAGATAGAATAGTATGTACTTGGACAAAATAAGTGAAAAAAATCAGTATGTAAAAGAATTTTACGTACCTAGCCATCATGAATAACGTGTTATACAAATGCATGTAATAGAATTGACAGTAGACGAACACCTAATTAATTGCATGTTTTTACATTTTTTGGAATTCTTAAATACATACTGTTAATTGTTTATACAGTCCTGTCTGTAGCCAATTTACCATTAATCTCATGGTAATTGAATCTAACCTACAAAAAATTAAATCAATACTATATAACGGGGGAAATGTTATGTATGCATTTTAAAATATCACAGGTCGAAGATATTCTAAGTCATAAATACTCATACAGAAATTAATTTTGTCCTTTTATAGCATAATGTTCTCTTTAACATTTGGAAAGCTTTGAACCAGCAGTACATTACCTGTGTTTATGTAAAAACCACACTATAAAATACCTTCTCAATAAACTTTTCTGCTGCTTTTTAGTTGAGGCCCGAATAATATCTACCAGCAAACAATGAACCAATCTACAAAACAACACATTATGGAATTGTACAAAGCTAAATGTAGCAATGGTTGACTTCAACGGAGCAAAAGAAAAATAGATACAGCTCGTATTACAGAGTCTCAAAATAAAAATATGTCAGAAATTAGGAGAACCATTTTTTTTGAGTAATCTGAAACATTTTTGACAGTTTTATAATGGATCTGTTTGCCTGTCCCCTGGGCAGATTTTGACAGTTCTATAGGAATAAATTCTGGCTCTGACTGCTCAATGTTAAAAAAGTTTTTTTTTATCTTTGATAAGAACAGATCAGACAGTTATATTCTAGACAAAAAAGTTTTGGACAGATAGACCCTGAAACATTTTTGATAGTTCTACACTTCAATGGTCTTGAATAGTTCTACCCTAGAACAACTCTAGTAGTTTTATCCTAGAAATAATTACGGTGGTCAAATGCCTACAAAAGTTTTGGACAAAACAATATATTAATTAGAGAAATTTGCATCAATCTTTTAAATTCATTTATTTATTACTCGGTGGTTTGATTAATACATGCATTTATTCAGATTTGATCATAAGCATTTAAAACTATTCTTTGGGATAAACATCGCTATTTCTAATTACACACACACACATATATATATATATATATATAGTATTAAATTTATAATTAAGATCCATTTATTACATCTGTGATCAGTTTTTTTGGCAATCGCCAATGGCAGTCAGCAGGGTCTAAGAACATTTGTTGTTCGACCTGTTAGTCAAATGTATTTAGACCCCTCTAACAAGAAATTTGTTTTGCATGCACAAGTATAAACATTGCGGTTTTTATCCAACGCAATCATAGGTTTGAACGTTGTTTTCAATTTAAACTAGTTTATGTTTTTTCGTTTGGGCTTGATTTATACTTGCCTTCGGGTTTATATGATCCGTTCATCCTATTTTGACTCCTCAAAATTCAAGAGTCTATCCTAAATTGAGGTAAATTGTATGGCTTTCCAAATACCATTTCGATTCCTTACATCACTGAAGAGACATTAATTGTCGAAATCCGGATATGGTGTTCAAAAACCTTTGCACCTTTTGTTTGCGGTATACTATCTTTTCTGCAAGTTTATTGTTTTCTGTTTAGTATCAAATTTATAATTAAGATCCATTTATAACATCGGTGATCCGTTTATTTGGCAATCGTCAATGGCAGTCAGCAGGGTTTAAGAACATTTGTTGTTCGAACTGCTAGTCAAATGCGTTTTGTTAAAATATACTTTTTCACTTTTTTGGAAAATGTTGTTTGTGCTGTATTTACACCCCTCTAACAAGACATTTGTTTTGCATGCACACGTATAAAAATTGCGGTTTTTATCCAACGCAATCATAGGTTTGAAAGTTGTTTTCAATTTAGACTTGTATATATATTTATATATATAAAAATTATAAACAAGTCTAAATTGAAAACAACGTTTAAACCTATGATTGCGTTGGATAAAAACCGCAATTTTTATACGTGTGCATGCAAAACAAATTTCTTGGTAGAGGGAGTTCTAAATACAACTCAAACAACTTTTTCCAAAAGACCAAAAAAGTGAAAAAGTATATTTTAACAAAACGCATTTGATTAGCAACGGATGTTCTTAAACCCTGCTGACTGCCATTGGCGATTGCCAAATAAACGGATCACCAGATGTAACAAAATGGATCTTAAATAATAATTCAATACCAAACAGAAAACAATAAACTTGGGGAAAAGATGGCATACCGCAAACAAAACGTGCAATATATATATAATATATATATATACAAGTCTAAATTGAAAACAACGTTCAAACCTATGATTGCGTTGGATAAAAACCGCAATTTTTATACGTGTGCATTCAAAACAAATTTCTTGTTAGAGGGGTCTAAATACAGCACAAACAACATTTTCCAAAAGACCAAAAAGGTGAAAAAGTATATTTTAACAAAACGCATTTGACTAACAGGTCGAACAACAAATGTTCTTAAACCCTGCTGACTGCCATTGGCGATTGCCAAATAAACGGATCACCAATGTAATAAATGGATCTTCATTTTAATTTAATACTAAACAGAAAACAATAAACTTGCGGAAAAGATGGTATACCGCAAACAAAAGGTGCAACGGTTTTTGTACACCATATCCGGATTTCGACAATTAATGTCTCTTCAGTGATGTTAGGAATCGAAACGGTATTTGGAAAGCCATTAAAATTTTCCTCAATTTAGGATAGACTCTTGAATTTTGAGGAGTCAAAATAGGATGATCGGATCATATAAACCCGAAGGCAAATATAATACAAGCCCAAACGAAAAAATATAAACAAGTCTAAATTGAAAACAACGTTCAAACCTATGATTGCGTTGGATAAAAACCGCAATTTTTATACGTGTGCATGCAAAACAAATTTCTTGTTAGAGGGGTCTAAATACAGCACAAACAACATTTTCCAAAATATATATAATTATTTCCTTGACTGCATCTTACATTAATTTGTAGGATCCTTTACAATAGATAATTCAGCTGATCTGTAACAATTCCATCTTCATGCCTTATATATCATGTACTGTGTACTAGATAAAAACTGACGAGGACAGTTAACACCCGGCCACCGAAAGCTATATTATATAGAGCCTAGGTGGTCGAGTGGTCTAGCGCGTCGGGCATTGTGCAAGGCGATTTGCTGCCACGATATCTCAGGAGCATGAGTTCGAATCCATGCCAGGGAAGAACCACAAATTTGCTTGTGCAAATTTACAGATCTAACATTGTTGGGCTGTTGTTAAGACGAATTATATATATAATACAGTACATGATATAAAAGGCATGAAGATGGAATTGTTACAGATCAGCTGAATTATCTATTGTAAAGGATCCTACAGTTAATGTAAGATGCAGTCACAGAAATAATTATATTATAAGTACGTCTGAACCAGTGACGACTCTACAACAGATTTTATCCATCGGATCACCAGCAGTGATGGTAATTCAAGGCTGAAAATACATTCTGTATATATAATTCGTCTTAACAACAGCCCAACAATGTTAGATCTGTAAATTTGCGGAAACAAATTTTTGGTTCTTCCCTGGCCAGGATTCGAACTCATGCTACTGAGATATCGTGGCACCAAATCGCCTTGCACTATGCCCGGCGCGCTAGACCACTCGACCACCTAGGCCCGACAAAAGTCAAGCTTTCGGTGGCCAGGTTTTACCTTTCCTCTTCAGTTTTTATCTAGCGTCGTAACATAGAACATGATATATAAAAGAGGGACGAAAGATACCAGAGGGACAGTCAAACTCATAGATCGAAAACAAACTGACAACGCCATGGCCAAAGATAAGAAGACAAACAGACAAATTTAGTACAGATGACACAATATTGAAAACTAAAGACTAAGCAACACGTACCCCACCAAAAACTGGGGGTGATCTCAGGTGCTCCGGAAGGGTAAGCAGATTCTGCTCCATATGTGGCACCCGTCGTGTTGCTTATGTTATTACAAATCCGGTAAATAGTCTAATTCGGTAGGTCACATTCGTGAAACGGGAAGGGTATTGTAGTTACGACATAAGGAACATATCCGATATCATCTGTGAAACGGTTATTCCATAACGGTCAACCAACTCGTGATGGCGTCTGTAAAATTTACGAAGGGACGATTTCAACTTCACAATTTGGAACTCTTGGTTTACTAGCTTCCTTGTGAGCAGCAATCCTCTATCAAGGAAATCATGATAGGAAATACAAGCCCGGGAATATCGTATCAATTGGGAGATATATACTCCGTATGCAGGCACTGCTGGAATGTTGATACATAGAAATTGAAAGTTCACAATTGGGAAGCTGAAATGATCTCTTTTGTCGTAAAATTTTGTTTTCAACCGACCCTCATTGTCAATTTCTAGATGTAAGTCAAGATATGAGGCAGACTTAACTGTATCTGTAGTATCTTTTATCTCTAGTTCGATGGGATAGATTCGTTCAACATAGTCACCAAATTTTGTATTATTTAGTGAAAGAACATCATCTATATAGCGGAACGTAAAGTTAAATGATATTGCTAACTTCTTATCTTTCTTCCTAAGGCATGAAGATGGAATTTCACAGATCAGCTGAATTATCTATCGTAGAGGATCTTACAAATTAATGTAGGATGCAGTCACAGAAATAATTATATTATAAGTACGTCCGAATCAGTGATAACTCTACGACAGATTTTATCCATCGAATCACCAGTGATGTTAATACAAGGCTGAAAACACATTCTGTATATATAATTCGTCTAAATAACAACCCAACAATGTTAGATCTGTAAATTTGCGGAAGCAAATGTTTGTTCTTCACTGGCCGGGATTCGAGCTCATGCTACTGAGATATCGTGGCATCAAATCGCCTTGCACTATGCCCGGCGCGCTAGACCACTCGACCACCTAGGCTCGACAAAAATCAAGCTTTCGGTGGCCGGGTATATATATATATATATATAATTGAGAATGGAAATAGGGAAAGTCTCAAAGAGACAACAACCCAACCAAAGATAAAAAACAGCCCAAGGCCACCAATGGGTCCTTAACACAGCGAGAAAATCCCGCACCCGGAGGCGGGCTTCAGCTGGCCCCTAAACAAACATGTGTACTAGTTAAGTGCAAATGGACGTCACACTACACTCCGAAACATATAAATGAACTAAAATTAAAAAGACATACAAGACTAACAAAGCCAAGAGGCTCCTAACTTGGGACAGGCGCAAAAAAGCGGCGGGGGTAAACATGTTTTGTGAGATTTCAACCCTCCCCCTATACCTCTACCATGTAGAATAAACAAACACACAGCAATACGCACAGTAAAACTCAGTTCAAAAGAAGTCGGAGTTCAATGTCAGAATAGTAACAGAAGAAACTTAGCAAAATGACAATGATACATAGATTAACAAAGTTACTGACATGCCAGCTCCAGACCTCAATTAACCTGATTGAAAAATGATATCTTCATCACATGAAAATCCAGCACAATTCCTCCCGTTAGGAGTTTAGTATCATACCATCATAAAATTTAAGAGAAGAACATAACCCGTACCATGCCAACAACTCGTTTTAGAATAAATGTGTTTATTTCCGATGAAAAGACCCTATGAGTGAATCAATATTAATTCCAAAATATGCCATCTTTGATGACCTGACAATAGTATCGTAACTATATTCCTCCTGAATAAGTCTGTTTAAAGGTTTGGTTAGCTTTTGAAGTGAATGACGACATTTTTGTGCTTTGTATAGAATATTACCATAAAGGATTGGATGTGAAATACCTGAACGTTCAAGATGTCTGCATGTTGATTTATATTTACGAATGATGTCCTTGTACTGATGATAAAATCAAGTAAATATTTTGACTAGTTTGTGATATCGAAAACCCTGGTCTAAAATCAAATACGTTGTTATATATATATATATATATATTGAGTATTGTTAGGATTAATGACACTGACGAAGGCTATTTGTTAAGCCGAAATATTGGTCAACACGATTTTATAACATCATCTTCGTATATTACCATCTTATATCAGTACCGTTGTGCAAATCTTTAAGCTTCTATAATTTTTCCTTATCTTCACAGTATCGTCTTTTCTAGACGATCCGGTACTTTAATTTGATGGTTGGTCCTTTTTATAGACTTATATAACCTGCAATCAATTCCATCTTCATGCCTAATATATCATGTACTGTGTTACAACTCCAGATTCTACTGACGAGGAAAGGTAACATTAGGCCACCGAAAGCTGAATTCATAGTTCAGTCCAGGTGGCCGAGTGGTCTAGAGCGCTGGACACAGTGCAAGGCGGTGTTGTCTCGATATCCCAATAGCATGAGTTCTAATCCCGGCAAGGGAAGAACAAAAATTTACTTCCGCAGATTTAACATTGTTGTGCTGATATTTAGAGTAATTATATATATATATATATATTATTAAAAAAAAAAGAATAAGACAGAGCAAATAATACTGAACCACAGTGGTAATGTAAGTTTAAGGTGGTGATTATACATACGTAAGCTCAGGTTTAAACCCAGTTGAAAGGAGAGTTATGGTGTAACACCACTAATTCGGGCCCGGTCAGAAAGCACATACCAGAAAGCAGTATATATTTAACACAAAATAGTTCCTACGCATGGGTGAAACTATCAAACTATGTAGAATATTTTGGTAATTTTGGTATCAAATGAAAGCTGAATGACTGGTGATGATTGTAGAACACTTTTTGACTTATGGTTTTGAATATTAAAAAAGATTGCATGAAATTTAAAAAGGAGGGTACATTTGCCTGTATGTCAGATCTGTTTTGGTACATTTAAGGTGTTGCTTTGACATGCAATAATTGTCACTTTATTTGAAATTAAGACATATAATATTAAAATATTTAAAAAAAATGAAGATATAACCTGTACTAACATACAAAATTTGACTGATTCATATCCATGGAAAGAATTTTTAAACCACGGAAAAATGAAGGTTGTATTGATGTTTTGAAATACTTAGATCATGTAGATATATATCCTTCTATTGACGTCATTTGAAAATGTTCTACAACCTGCACTTTTGACCTTACAACAGATTTGGACAGATCTAAATTGGAGCAGATTCTGCAGTTATTACCTGAAACACTTTTGGATAATTATACTTTAGATCATAGCCGTTAACATATTCGAAAGTATTCTAGGGTAGAACTTTTCTGTGATAAAAGTGTACTGGTATCATTTAGATCAGTTCTTAACAATTGTTCTTACAATTAAGAGGAGTTACGCCAGACCTGTGGTCAATCAGTTGTTAAAACAGTACACACACAAAAAAAAGCATCCCAATGATACGTTTTTTACTCACAACTAACAATTAGTATAAATTGTATGTTTAAGGGAATCAATGTAATGAAAAAACATCTATATCATTTAAACTCATGTAAATTCACATAATGCAAGAGATGATCACAACTTTGATAAGTAAAATAATTGTTCTTCACATATTCTGTCTTGTAAAAGAAACATTTTTTTTCTGTCTTTTAGAATGAACAGAAAAGTGTGGTAATCGAAATCAAAATAAACTTACTCAAAGAACAGTCTCATATTTCCAAGCAAAGAAATCGACAAAACCGAAGAGAAATGAGCCCTGAAAGTATAAAATGAAAACTAGTTTAATATCCTTTATGGTCGACTTCAATTAAATCATTATCAAAAAAATATACAAATTGCATTACGTCAAAAAAAGTGGATAAGTAGTTAAGCTTTTCATGATACTCTAATAGAAAATTGAGTTTGCATTTTCATTACGCCAAGACAAAAAGAAAAAAGCAAATGAACCCTGTGTGTACTATCTACTGGAATTGTGATTAAACTACATATGGGATTCAAAAACACTGGTTGCGTCAGAATATAAGTATGGAATGTCCTAACATGAATAAATTGGTGAATGCACTTGAGGTAGCGATTTGCTGTTTGTACTTAAAAGCAACCCGCTGAAAAACCATCAATTTACCCTAATCTACCTTATTATACAAAACTCAATTTGAAAGTTGAAATTAAATTTATATTACTTTTCTTGCATTGTCAGCATATTCGGCCGATCTAGTGTTTGAACGAGTGACTTCAAGAAAAGCTTATTCGACAACAATATTTCGAATTTTTCCATTGCACTTTTTATTCTGGTTTTCTTGTCATCTGTGGTCTGCAATAAAAAAAAATGTTTTCAGTTTTTGCCAAATCGACCATAATAAAAAGGTGATATGTAAAATAGAGTTAAGAAAATAATTGATTGTCATTCGCCAAGATCGTGTACGCAGGACTAGGCATGTGTCCACATCATCTGGGGTAAAAATTTAAACCTTTTGCAATATGATAGATATAGACTATGATTTCAAATTTACTCAGTACAATATTATTTCTTCAATTACTTTAATTTTGCAAAAGAGAGGTGAAAGATTCAAAAGTGACATTCAAACTAATGAGTAGAAAAAAACTGACAACCCAATGACAAAGATCAAAAAACGATCAAATATTCAAACAACACTATACAAAACACAATATAGAACTTCAGACTGAGCAAAACGACCCCCCCCCCCCCCCCAAAAAAAAACCACAAAAAAACCATAGGGGATCTAACGTATACCGGAAGGGTAAGCAGATCCTACTTCACATGTGAAACACATCTTCATTTTACATTCATTTGTACTTTTATAAAACTATGTCTTTATATGCATATGTTGAAATTTGGGTTTCGGAAAGAATGACTAATTAAAAACAACATTAAATAAAAATGAATTCAACAACTGGTGAAACTATCCATTTATAACTGGAAAAAAATCTAATTATATTAAACGAGTAGAATTTTAGGGAAGCGCGACATAATGCATCTTAGTATTTATATGTATCTATATGTATTTTGTCTGTCCCAGAGAATCTAAACAGTTTTACTGTTAATCTCTGACTATTGGTGTATTTCATCACAACAACAGGTTGAATTGAGAGTGCGTCTAAAAGTTAATAAAAAGAAACCATTCTTTTTCTGTAATAGCTGTACTAATACCCTTTCGAGAATATCATTGTCAGATAAAACATTATTATTTTGTGTTGTTGAATGGCGTAAAATACAGAAAATAGTGAAAATCGTAAAACAGGACACAAGACAAAGTACTACGAAGGTCTCAGGGAAAGCTGGATAAATACACGTGAGTTAGAATACAATCAGCTAGGAAAAAGGGCACGACCGTTGGGATACAATCACCACAATTTAAAGATTGCAATTTTTAAATTTGTGTTAATAAAAAACAGCAGAAAATATGTTACCTCTGAATCATGAAGCAGTGGGTTTGATTTAATGTCTTGGTTCGGAAAGAGGAGATGGAGGACATACGTTTGGTAGTCGCAAAATGGAACTCTTGTTGTAACTAGGTCCGATTTGATGTCTTTAATATTCATCTGAGCATCCGCGAATTCTGCAAAATCAAAATATCGCACGATAATATAATAATTTGAAAATGAGAACCACAATTTTGTGCAAATAATAGGCGACGCAAACGATAGTTTTTTAGTTTCATTGTTAAATTAACACTTCTTTTATAGAAATTCACATGATTGATGGCAAGTTTAGCTAAATAACGTTTGCAAATAACTGATATTTATTTTACTAGTTATCAACGACCACACAATCTCTTAAAATTAAAGGGAAATAAAAAGAAATTCGGATAATCAGTTTTTTGGAATTATTTATACATCCTAGATTTTTAAGTTTTGGGATTTAGAGTTCCCGAAGAAAATCAATTCAGACAAACGAGTCGGACGCATCACTTTTTTCATTTTTATTTGTTCTTGCACGTTGATGTGAATACCTTGGGTTCATTCATGTAAACTCTGTCGAAATTTTTCAATAATAAGTCATACAATTATTCCCTTTAAAGTCAGACGAACGAAGATAAAAATAGGATCATGGTGAATGTCTTAACAAATGTAAAATTTCAATTAAAAAGAAATTCCTTAACAAATACACCCCTCCCTCTCCCCCCAACCGAAAAAAATAATAAACTCCCAAGTACGCACAGGTTCCATGCTGAACAACAGCTATATGTTCATTTCAAGGGATATTATATCAATCAATCAGTTAGTCAAAGATCTGATCGTATTTTCTTTTTGTTTTCCCTAATCAAATAATTTAAAAACTTGTTCTGTGATTAACCTTTACCAAACTTTGTATTGTTTGCAATACTATGGATTATTTACCCAAAGAATATATTACTTTAGGAGTATTTGACAAAAGCTTTTTGTTATGTTGGGTCCTCAACGCTCTCCAACTTTGTACTTTATTTGGATTTTCAACTCTTTGATTCGAGCTTCACTGATGATATAAAAAAGAAGATGTGGTATGATTGCCAATGAGATGATGAGTTTTTTTGTAGAGTACACACACATCTGGAGTACACAATTACAAGCCTGGTATCTTTGATAGCTTTATTTGTATACTTTGTTTCTATTTCTACACACATTGGGAATTTCAAACCATTCCTTCTCATTCGTTTCATATAGAAGTTATACTGAAAGAATTTAAAAAATATATGTGTGAAATGACGACGTAAAAGTTTACATTATTTGTTTTGACTAATGAAGGATATTTGTTAATTAATACCATAAAAACATACAACCTTCTCTACTGGCCTTTCTTATCATTTCTTCTCTTGTCATCAGTTCCATTTTGAATTCTTTCATAACCCTTTTCTTTTTCTTCCTTAAAAAAACTACAGCCGATATACCAATGACAACAGCTGTAACCAATGCCGCAGCTAGAACACCAACTATTATGGCTAATATTTTGACGTCTTCTTGGTATTTTAAGTCACCAATGTATGCTTTGATCCTTCCAACAAACACCTTTTTGTTCAAAACAAGTTAAACAAATGTTGAAAAGAACTTTTGATAATTACTTTATATGCATATCAAACAGAAATCAAATTTGTATTGTCAAAAACATAATTATGTAATGTTATAAAACAACGTTAATGGTATGTTTCAAAACAACGTATTTTATCCCTGCATTACAATAAATTCCTATTATTTTTTTTTCAAAAAGTTATACTTCAAATTCTGCCATATGCCCTCGTAATGCATACATTTTGTATATTAAAAAGAAAAACAAAGGATATGGGGTATCCATCCATGACACCTCAAGAATAAATACACAATAACTTTAAAAATACAGAAGATCATACATATCAAGCACGGGGAAACTTTCTACGGCTAAAAATACAGAGGAGCATACATATCAAGCACGTCTCGTTTCAAATAGCAAATTAATAGAATTAATGAAGTATTCTTACTTGACACTATAACTTAAAAAACTCGCAATAATAAGAAAACATCAGTTCAACATCTCATTTACTTAGAAGTTAAAATGTTTGATTTTCTATAAAAGTTTAATTTTTTACTCAAAATGTCTGTTAGAAAGAACACTTCCCTCTTTACTAATAAATGTGTCTACTTCAAAAACCGTCACCGTGACATTCAAGTTTCTTTCATTAAATATATACAATTGTACTTACAATAACATAAACAGTATTTATATCTGTTTGGTTAGTTCGAGGTACCGATTTTGGTGGCAAACATGTAATTAATTGCATAGTGATTTCAAGATTAATACAACTTCCATCCAAACCGATCTGTATACTGTAATCTTCAGGTTGGGCTCCGTTTAGAATGTTCGCACCCTAAACAGGAAAAAAATTCATTTTATTCATAATAAAGATTTTAAATTAAAAATCTTTTATGGTTAACTGTTTATGAGAGAGAGAGAGAGAGAGAGAGAGAGAGAGAGAGACTGACTGTTACATTAAAATTATCTTCGGTTACTTTAATATTACTGACGTAAAGTGCATGCATGTATGCAAATAAAATTCATTGAAAATGATAGCAACCCAGCTTTACTATAATTGTTTATTTGAAAAAACCTTTCGGACTTTTAGGTTCTCACTGTTCCTCAGCTTAGTACTTTATTTCCCATTTCAACTATTGTGATTCGAGCGTTACTGATGTGTTTTTTGTAGACGACACGCACGTTTGGCGTACACAATTATAAGGCTGGTATCTTGGATAAGTGTATCTTATTGATTTTAATAATGTTTCAATTGTCATAACCAGTTTGGAGACCATCTTTGGAAGTCATAATCATAATTACAATGACCAAATTCTTTTGCCTCTGAGTCATTTGCTGAACGAAATATGTTTCATTCATTTTGCACATCTTTCCATAAACTGAATATATGCGGAATTTTTAGGTTTCTCAAATAATGTTTAATTCCTGACAAACACGTTCTTGACAGTGACCATTGTTACTTTGCTCCATTATCTCACAAATCTTACTACACTTGGCTAGTACATTATTTTGTTTTAATAAATCGGCCAATGACTGTGACTCACCATTCAAATATATTTCAAATTGAACAGAATGATTCAATAATGTATAGTGGCATACATTTGAATGAATAAAACAAAAGTAAAGTATTTATTTTCATAGAAAAGCAATATATTTAAAGATTTACCTTGATTTTAATTTTAGATTCTTTGTCATATTCGTATACGCTTGAAAACTTTTCAAATGTAGGATCGTCTACATATTCTATAGTAACTGGAAGAGTCACACCATCTAATCGAACATAAACTGTTTGGCTGTTATTCTGATTCTTTAATTTTGGTGGAGTTTCACAGACAGCTGAAGTATCTTCTGGTACATCGCAAGGTTTATCCTAATAAATACTATCTATAATCAACTAAATATTGTAAAATTTAATGAGTCACTTCAAAAAAACAAAAATATAAAAAATTCTTTTGACCTGACTAGTCTTAATAGTGTTAACAAAAACATTATGCTAAAGGTTGTATCCTTATTATTTGTCTTAATCACAAAAGAGGGACGAAAGATACCAGAGGGACATTCAAACTCATAGATCGAAAACAAACTGACAACGCCATGGCCAAAAATAAAAAGACAAACAGACAAATAATAGTACAGATGACACAACACAAGTCTAAGCAACACGAACCCCACCAACAACTTGGGGTGATCTCAGGTGCTCCGGAAGGGTAAGCAGATCCTGCTTGCGCACCCGTCGTGTTGCTTATGTTATTACCAATTTCGGTAAATAGTCTAATTCGGTAGGTCACATTCGTGAAAAGGGAAGGGTATTGTAGTTACGACATAAGGTACAAGTTAACTCTTACCTTAAAATAGTTCTTCATGTGTTTGATGTCTGATAATACGAATACTATTATTGTTAGTCAATAATTAAAGTTTTCGGTTTCTCATTTAACTAGACATTTGAACGTTAACATTGGTCACATATCCAGATATCCACGTACTTTTATCTAACATTATTAGATTTTCACGCATAGCTATGAAACATTGCTAGATATGATAAAAAATCGTGCATCGTGTGAAAATTGAAAGCAAGACAGTCCGCTTCGGTTGATTCACGTTATTACTCATTGTATTGAATTCAAACGTTTTGGACTTTGTTCACTCTCTTTTTTTAATTTTAAAGATGAAGTTTTGAAAATTACTTAAAACATAGAATGAGTTACAACAATATTCTAATAAACATTTATTTCTAATAAAGTTAGAAACAGTCGGGAAACTTAAATTGTTTACGTATTTTTGAAAACAGCTTTAAAGTTTTTAAAAAATAATGTTATAAAAGTCACATAATTTTTCTTTTTAAAATTTGTACAACAATTTTCCTGTATTTTCGAGAAATGGTCTGACAATGATTCCATTAACAAGTACAACGATGATGAATTCATTGAAATGTGAGACGTTTTGATCGACAATATATGTTTTGAGTTTGGTGGAATGTTATTTCAGCTGAAAACATTCCAATGGGATCTTTTTGTGAACTACTCCTTACCGACTGGTTTTGCACTCATATACAGAATAAATACATCAATTTAAAAAAAAAGTATCTAGCATAGTTCATGTAGTCCACTTTCAGATATATTGATGATGGTCACTTAATAACCCGAATTTCACCAGATGCTTAGATCTCATGTATCCCAAGAGAATTTGAAATGAAGGATACCACTGAAAGAGAAAGGTCTTCTTCAAATTGAAATCTTATCATCTATATTTACACAGATGGACATACGACTTCAATCTACAATCTATGACTAACGTCATGATTTCATCTTTCAAGTTGTTAACCATTAATCAGCAGTAAAATACCCTCTGTTCGTATGGCGTTAACTTATTTCAGATAATACATTACGCTCGTGTATGTTTACCCTATACGGACTTCATAAACAGGGGTTGTGCCCCTTCAAAAGATTTATGATGAGGAAGAACGACTGAAATAGACAAATCCCAAGTTTTATAATCAACATCACACATTGGGTGTTGTGTCAGTTTTTCAACTCACTAGCGACATGTTTTCGCGGTCTACGATTTTAGATATCAGTATAATTGTCTGTTTTGCAATTTTACTGATTGGGTCCCATTACCGAATATGACATTTATTCTTAATGTTAATTCACATAACGGGTGGTCCATGCATAACAGGAGGCGATAACACTGTCCCACATCCGGTTTAGCACTTTTTTGAGTTTATGTGATTCCCTCAGAGCATTTTACCATGACTTGTCTCTTTCTAATTGATTAACAAGATTTGAACACCGATAAACTACTATTGTCTTAATGAATACATTAAAATAGCAACAGAGAGTTTTGTTGACTGTAACATTGTTCTTGAGTGCTATGATCCCATAAAGGTTACAATTATATTTGGCAAATATATATTTGATGTAACTATGCATACTAATTATACCAAGGTTCTCTGTCAACACTGTTCGATAAACATATTATAGGTCCGAGAATTAGACAATTACCGGCTACAATCAAAACAAAATTATTGTTTTAAAAGAGAAAAACTGATCGAGTGTAGGTATTAAGATATTGATTTATAAGATTTGATTACGACTGCGATGGCCGTGAGCGTGTACACGTTTGGATACAATGATAGATCGGCACATTTTTAATTAAGTTGGTTCAAAAGACCAGTCTTTGATGGGCTTCTTGTTGCTCAATCTTTAGTTTTTTTAACACACAAAAAAAAAATTATGATAAAAAAACACACACACAATAAAATGCAAAACCATAACGGTAGATATATTGGATGAAAATAAATTATGTAAAACAAAGGCCTATTTTTACAGAAATTGACGATAAAACGGTTGAAGAGACAGTGTATGCTTTGCGTCTAGGCTTTATGTCTTATTTAAGTGTTAAAGTGCTTTACCTGCATGCACATTATATGATGAAAACACTCGCCGGTTTGATTCTTTAAAATGACATTCGTTTTCGAGAGTGAAGTGGTTTATAAATACTAAGTTAGAAATCAAGTAAACTTTAATTCACATGGGATCCTCTAAAGTTATCTGTAAATTAGCACAGTGAACTTACATCAGGGAATAATTAGGATGACAGTGGAATATACCGATGCAAATAAATCTATCATAAATTCAAGCACACAATGTCATTTATGGGAACAGAAAGGTCATAAAGAACTACGAAAAATAAAAAGATGATTTTGAGACATAATTAATTAAAATGAATAGTTATTTGTTCGATACAAAGACTGTTTTTTTTTTTTGCTATTGAATCCTTAAAGGTCCTTATATAGATTCGTTACACGGTGGGTAAGGTTGTCCTGCGAGAGAACGTTCTGTGCTGATGATTCGGTCCTGACTCATTAAAAATATGTAAACAAAGACGAAAAATGACGAATTTTGACGTTTTCTCGCATAAAAAATGGAAGGAAACAGTTGAGATGTTTAAATTTTGTTTCTTATGGGTTCATAGGCAAACAATTACAAATGTGACCCTCGAAACTGTTTCAGTAAGCGTAACACAAAATTGCTCATTTTTAGAAAAATCTAGAACTGATAAATAAAACAAAAAAGCTCATGGAGTCCGCTTCCTATACCCAAATCCACACGACAAAATTATTTTGTGAAAAACCTGTGCAATTTATTAAAATTGTACATTTTCTCAGTTTAGACATGTCCTGACTCTGTGCTGGTGGGTCCTGATACGGTGCTGGTGATTTTGGGTAAACAGTTGGTTATATTTGAAACAAACGTTACAGAATCAATAAAATTGGGCAGATCATTGTATTCAATCGGATTTGTGACTCCTTTTTTTACTTTTGTGCATCCATGTGCCTTTTTAATAAGAGTTTTCAAATAATCGTAACTTATATTACATAAAAGGGCAACATCTTCCGTCCAATATCAGATGAGAATGCATCTAATTAGAATAGTTTTATTTAAGATATTAAATGTCCTTGAATTGATGATTCTCTACATAATATGTTAATTAAAACAGTTTTTAAAATGTGCTTAAGGTTACGCGACATGTATATTATAACGACAATAAACGTTTGACTGGTTTATTTCAGTTAAATATACGAGGTTAGATGATCTTACTACTGGTGCCTCTAATTTCTTCCTCAATATATACACTGTCTCCAATACATTTCGACTGGATAAAAAAAAACGACCTAGACTTGCTTTTCATACACGACCGATAAAAACTTACTAGAATGGAACAAGATGTGAACAATTGCAAGTCAAAGTATGACCCTCAACAACGAGCAAAAACCATAACGAATACTAGCTATAAAAATCACGGTAAACGATTAAAAAATGAAGACCTTCGTCCTGGTTTAAAATACAACTTTGAACAAAAAACAAACATGACAGATAGCAAGCATCGACAACCACTGGTTTTGGGCACTCGTGACAGTGCTTAACATGTTTGTTTGCGCTCCACACCCCACCCAACACCTCCTCCTTTCCTCCTTCATTGGTACAGTGGTGCAACAACACAACACTTAGCACACAAAATAATAACATGAAGACACAAATTATTGAACCACGAGTACTCGCATCTACTGAAAGCTAGTTCAACTAATAGATAAACCATGTTCTCTTAGATTAAAATCTCTATCGGTACACATCAAACAAATTTCGCAAAACTTAAGTATACATTTTAATTTTTGTTTTAGCAAAACTTTAAAACTGTGCAGTGAATCTTCTGCTTACAACAGTTATTGTCATAAATATGTATACATCAGACATTATAAAGGCATGTGGAAGATACTAAGTAGTATTTTACAGTTCAATAAAAACTTACTAGAATGGAACAAGAAGTGAACAATTGCAAGTCAAAGTATGACCTTCAACAACGAGCAAAAACCATAACGAATACTAGCTATAAAAATCACGGTAAACGATTAAAAAATGAAGACCTTCGTCCTGGTTTAAAATACAACTTTGAACAAAAAACAAACATGACAGATAGCAAGCATCGACAACCACTGGTTTTGGGCACTCGTGACAGGGCTTAAAATGTTTGTTTGCGCTCCACACCCCACCCAACACCTCCTCCTTTCCTCCTTCATTGGTACAGTGGTGTAACAACACAACACTTAGCACACAAAATAATAACATAAAGACACAAATTATTGAACCACGAGTACTCGCAGCTACTGAAAGCTAGTTCAACTAATAGATAAACCATGTTCTCTTAGATTAAAATCGCAATCGGTACACATCAAACAAATTTCGCAAAACTTAAGTTTACATTTTAATTTTTGTTTTAGCAAAACTTTAAAACTGTGCAGTGAATCTTCTGCTCACAACAGTTATTGTCATAAATATGTATACATCAGACATTATAAAGGCATGTGGAAGATACTAAGTAGTATTTTACAGTTCAATTTATTGATCATAAAGAGATGGAGGTTGCATGGAGGTTAACATAGGATAAGAAGAAATTGATAGTATTTTTGGCGAAAGACTTTAAACCTTCTTTGCATTAAATTCTGAAAGTTTTCTTGTTGCCGTAAATTGTAAGATCCTCAACAAAATATTAATAATTTGTTGGAATGAATAAAGGTTTTATATCAAATTTTCATGGACTTTGATCCACTTTTTAGCGCCCACCCTGACGAGCCATGCGAGCTGTCGGTATCCTGTTTCACCTACCGCCCGTAAACTTTCACATTTCCATCTTTTTACCCAAATCATACGTGACAGGATTATTATCCTAGTAACCGGTGTTACCAATGTAGCGGACATTTTAAGTTAAAAAATTCCACAATACTATATTCATTTTGTGTGTCAATTTGTTTAGACAAAACAAAACTGCAAAAACTTCGAATACAAGAGAGTATTTTTTTTAAATGTCATTATTATCTGTCGATTTCTAGACCTATGCATAGTATTTATTTCAGATGACATGGATTTCAAACCCTGGTGACTCTGCTTCTCTTCATATATTCATATTTATCGTCCTTCCCTACGCCTATATTAGCCTGCTCAGTCGCTCGGTAATTCTCGTATCACGGCTTTGAGACGAGAGCATGCATTATCAGCGACATCACAATGTCTGAGGAGAAGGTATCAGCGACGTCACAATGTGAGAGGAGACTTTATCAAGCTTGCTTTCGTCAAGCGTAAAACTGTCTTAAGGAGGGGAAAACGACCAGTTATAGAACGATAAACAGATAACCGGGTTTTCTTCGTATAGATATCGTAAAATATCTGCCGCTCGACACAATGTGAAGCTTTTTCTCTCGTTCGCTGCGCTCACTCGCCAAACAGTTTCACATTGTGGCTCGCGGTTGATATTTTACGATATCAATGTGTAGAAAACCCAATAATCTACACACATATATAAATAAACAAACTAAAGGCTGCAACTGGTATTTTTGCATTTAAAATGATTCATTGCAACAAAAATATTTGTATTGAATGGAAACTGTGTGGTTAAAAATCTTGTATTGCTGATAAATGTTGCTGGACCAAGTTTTGGCATCTGATCTGAATTTTCTGAAAAGTGCAAGGTAGATAGACATTGGCCTGATGAATATTTTTACTCGGTAAGTTTTGCTCTAACCATGCTAACTGCTTGAACTTTTGCGATATAAACTAAAAACTCGAATATATTTTAACAAACAGTGGTCATGTTTGTTGATGAATATTGTTTTTCCTAGATTCACTCAGGAAAATTCATTTGGTAACATTTGGTCAAGCAATTTCAGAGAAGATTGTTTTTTTAATTACGGACGCCAAGTCAATAGCTCACACGATCCCTTGATACAGAGCGAAACGGGTTGATAACCAGTTGAAATTTAACCAAGTTTTGTATATTTGGATTGTTTAAAACTGTTTTTATGGCTTTTAAAAGTTAAATGTAGGTGTATAATTTAAGATTTTTTGCATCTTATATACTTGTTTATACTCAATTGGTAGTACGAGATATTGTAACTTTTGCACATTTAACAAAACAGCCGATTTCGGTAGGTGCAAATACTTCTGGGTTTTTAAGATGCATAAGCATAAATTCAACTGAAAAAAACATGCACGAAAAGATAAAATATTGATCTTTAAAAGCATTAATTTGCATCTCTGCCCCCGGCAACAGTATTTTTTTTTTTGGGGGGGGGGTCTAAAAATAGGGAATTATCTTATCGTAAAGAGACAGTCGAGTACACATTTTACGTTCAAAGCGTGTTGGAGTTGATTGTTTTTTCCTGAAAACGTATAAAATAAAAATAAAATGTTTGATATATCTGGCTTTAGATTCGATTTTGTCTTTATATTACGGCTACATGTTAATATAATAATACTGAGAATTCACAGTACTTGGGTGAAGTGAAATACCTTTGTAACGAGTCATTACTACAGAGAAGGTGTGTTTGAAACACAAAAATTAAAAGCTTCGTGGCGGTGCTATTACAAATATTTAACTAAAAATGTATTTCTTAGTCTGGTATTTTTTTTTTTCGTTCACTCTTTTTTCACTCATTTTCAATTAAAATTTAGGCATATTTTATTTTCATTCAGGAAATATATTTAAAAATAGAAAATTAGGACACATCGTTCACTTACTCCCCCTTAATTCTTTATCAAAAATCGTTGACAACAGACTTTACTTTTGGATCTTTAAAATGCATAACTTAAAAAAATCTTATTTTTGTGTGTGTTATCTAGGTTATTTAGTCTTCATTTTCTGACAAATTCTAGACTGCCCTTCCATGAAATATTTAATAATTTTTTTGAATGTTTCATTGAACTTTCCAAAATTACCCCTGACAACCGTTTAGACAATAATTGTATGTTGACCAGAGACTTAAAGGTACAGCAAAAGATGCTTAATAGCTAATAGATACATTTTTCTTTTACAGTACAACTTTTAAATCTTACGGGAACCCCCCTTCCCCTCTTGGAAAAAGTTAAATGGTAAAATTATCAACTGCAGTAATAAAATTGTTCCTGATCATCTGCATCAAATTATTTTTTATTAACAATTTTAGAATTTCAAAACTATTCCAAGCTTAATAACTTTCACCATGACTTCCCTCTCCCTTATTCAAAAAAAAACAACCCGCAATATTATTGTCATCCTTTTAGTAAACACTAAATTGTTACAAAAAAATCTGATTTTAGCCGCTGAGGACACATGATTCTTACGCGCAGAAACAAGGCTGAGATTCATTTGGTTGAATAAAAAGAAAATTATCTACAGTATCGTACAAATTTGTAAGAGAAACAATATCCAGGATGCTTAGTCTACACAGAATGTATTATCTAACCTCATCTAAGAAACGTTCAGACTCACCTGATAGTTTGCCGTGATCAACTTAGGTTGTGTTTGATTTTCATATGATGAAGACATAATCTTTCAATCAGTTTAATTGGGGTCTGAAGGTGGCATGGAAGTAACTGTTAGTAGTCGTTTGTTAATTTATGTATCATTGTCATTTTGCCTAGTTTCTTTAGTTACCTATTCTGATACGGACTCGGACTTCTTTTAAACTGAGTTTTACTGTGCGTATTGCTGTGTGTTTGTTTATTCTACATTGGCTAGAGGTATAGGGGGAGGGTTGAGATCTCACAAAGCATGTCTAACCCCGCCGCATTTTTGCGCCTGTCCCAAGTCAGGAGCCAACTGCCTTTGTTAATCTTGTATGTTTTTTAATTTTAGTTCATTTATATCCTATGGAGTTTAGTGTGACGTCCGTTTTCATTGAAGTGGTACAAATTTTATTTAGGGACCAGCTGACGGTGGCCTCGAGGTGCGGGATTTTCTCGCTGTGTGGAAAACCCATTGGTGTCCGTCGGCTGTTTTCTGCTCTTTGGTCGGGTTGTTGTCTCTGACACATTCCCCATTTCCATTCTCAATTTTATTAGAAAAAAAGTCCTTTATTCTATATTTATTCTCAATTTTTATGCAAAACCTTTTACATTTTGATTTTTCGGGTCATTGTTGAAGGTCGTACGGTGACGTTTAGTTGTTAACACCTATTTCATTTGGTTTCTGATGGAAATTTGTCCATTGGCAAACATACCAGATAATCTTTTTTATATAGGTATTGGATATTTTACCCGTATTTTGATAGTCACACGTAATCCCGCAAATAGTATGCATATTTTCTTATCTCAAAGGGGGGCAAGAGGGGTTCAATTAACTGGTCAATATATTTTTTGTTCTCAAATCAGATAACAGTAAATTTAAAATATTGATAACCGATAACAGCATTTTAAATCATCTTAAATGAGAAAACAGTGAATTCAAAAATCAAAAAACAGTAAACAGGGGTATTATTTTTTTTTCATAATAACAGTTCACAACAATGTCAATTTTAAGAAAACAGATAACAGCTAATTAGTCAATTACAGTTAACAGCACATATATCTTCAAAGTAACAGTTAACAAAAGTTTTAAAATGCCAAAACACCTTAACAGACACCCCCTCTCAAAAATCAAATAATAATAAAAAAACAGACTCAACTTGGCTCATATGAAATACCCACCAAATAAATGCTAGGTATATTTTCTATCAATTATACAAATTTTCTGCATCAATGATCTTGAATATTTGCCACTTTTAACCAAAATATAAAGGCACATATCCAGGTCATAGGTCACAGAACCAGGACCGTTTTTCTAATCACCAGCACATCGTCAGGACAATTTCGTTTGGCGAATTTGCACGACTTTTTCAATCAAAAAATCGTTGTAATATTCCTCTCATTGTACTTAGGAAGTATCAGAGAAAAATTAAGCAACAGAACGGTTGTTTAATGGCCGTTCTGGTACAATGTAAACAAACCCACCAGCACAGAATCAGGACCAACCAGCACGAGTCAGGACCGAATCACCAGCACAGAACATTCTCTCGCAGGACAACCTTACCCACCGTGCGTTATCTGCTAGGTATTTTATATTCAGAACAGACCCTATACTATTTTGATGATCTCGTTGTATATGTGTACTTACCACTCTGTCGACAGTTATTTTTTCTACATTCTTAAACCCTTTACCACGAATTGTAAATGTTGCACCTCCACTACGGAATAAGAATAAAAACATTCGATATATAAAACAAAGAAAAACTGCAATTTGGATATCATATAATGACAATTACTGTTTAATTCTCCCCTACCATTATAAAAAGGAGGGTATACTCCAGTTATACACCAATCAATTTACATCTACATTATAAAATATATAATGTCTTTTGATACTCTTATCTCAAATCTTCTTAATTTATTGCAATTGCACATGCTTGATCTATTTGTTTCGATAGTTTACTTTAATTGATACTACAAGCGTGTTACTTTTCGAGTTCATCACGTCTCAAAAGTGTCCGTCGTTAAATATGTAACAGCTTAAATTTGAAAAATAAGGCGTTTACACGTTTATTTTGTAGCAATTTTAACACCGCCACCCTGTTCACCTCCGAGATAGTGATTTGTGCATTTGCAACATGTTATGTAATAAGGGGCATGTCATAATGGATTCAGCCATACTTAACAAAATTATTACACGAGTTCTCAGACATCCCTGAATAAAACGGGCTAATAGGCAACTCTCTTGTCTGATGAACGGATCATTTGTTTATCTAGTTGAAAGTATCTAATTAATGAGTAGGTATATGTGAATAATCTGTTGTTTGACATTGGATGGTCCAGCGCTCAACATGGCACGCATTGAGAGGTATTTCGAAGTAACACATTGTTCTTCGAATTATGCTTCGAACTGTTGGCAATGCTCTCTTTCGAAAGGCTCGCTAAACTGTTATTCAAAGAAATTGTTAAAGTAATTTTAAGTCACAATACTACAGCTTTGTCGTCAGTATAAATCCGCGAAAGATGCTTGAAAAATGTGAATTCAAGTACCTGTCTTTGTAAAAATCATGCAGAGGGTGATTCATGCCATGTCACAGAAGTAATTTGTTTGGCCCTATATCATAAGAACTTTGGTAGATACGTAAAATTCTGTCTTTATTTTCCCTGTATATTGCCCGTTGCTATGGTAACCATCAAAACAACATTTTGCCTGAATATGTGAAAAAAGACCCTTTTGAAAATTTAAAATAAGGGAATTCAAAGTCCCATGGAAATTCAGTTAATCAATAAAAACAATTAGGGTTTTTACATTGTTAATAAACAAAACCCCAAACTATTCAAAAACGTTAAAATTTTGAATTTACCAAATAGTTTGTTTCCATAGCAACCATTTAAAAATGTGTTAAAATTCGAAAATGAAAAATTTCAAAAACTCCTAAATTTTAAATCTGTTTATCTCCCAAGACCAACAATACCATGACATTTCATTGACCATTTTTTTAAGACAACATTCCATATTTTCATAAAAATAAAAAGAAAGTCATGCGTTTCTTTTTCTTTAAAAAAATAACTTTAGTCAAAAATTGTCAATTTTCACCAAAATTCAGATTGCCAAACAGATGAATAATCAAACATTTTGAACTTAAAAGCTAAATCATTCCATTTATATGTGCATTTCTGATACAAATTTAGTAATTATAAATGAGAATATATTATTGATAGAGATATGTTGGTAGAGAATGAAACTTTTCTCTCTGGGCATGGTGCCCCCCCCCCCCTTTTTTTGAAAAAAAATCATTTTTTTTCAAAATTATAAAATTTATCAAAAATTAAAAGAAAGATGGTATTTAATTCTGAACATTTTGAGCATTGAAGCATGAAATTTCTTCAAAGGGTTAAGGCAATGATAGTACCTCCTTCTCCATTTTTAGATATTAGATTTTTTTTTCAGAAATGGGGAATATGCCAAAGAGACAACAATCCAACCAAACAACATAAAACAGCCGAAAGGCTGATGACTGAATGAAGGATTGCTGCGTCCCTAAATACATGAAATACACTTGTTTTGTGCAAATTGAAATTTTTAGATGCTTTTTCATGGTCTTTAAAATTAGCCTCTGTCCAAGTTTTATTTCAGTCTATGTCAAAAAAACTTAGTCTCAGACTGTTTTTAAATTTTAACTCTAAACAAGAGGCTCTCAAGTGCTTGAATCGATCACCTGTAATTTTTTGGTTAAATCTTTCATCAATGATTATTTATGCTTTTCAATATATATCAATGAGTGGCTTAAAAATTCTATTTAAATGTTCTTTGTATCTGTCATATTTTCTTAAAAAGCAAAAAAATGCATTTTACCCCTATGTTCCATTTTAGCCATAGTGGCTATGTTTCTTGAATTACAAGGACATAAAATACAAAATGTATACTAAATACTCCCAAGTTGGGCTGAAATTGATTTAGCAGTTTCAGGGGAAGATTTTTTAAAGTAAGCAAACTAGATGAACAAATTGTGAAAAAAATCTTTAAAGGGCAATTACTCCTTAAGGAGTCAATTGAAAATTTTGGTCATTAAACTTTTTTGAAGATCTTACTTTGCTGATCTTTTTTGATGTCTACAGTTTATCTTTGTCATTAATAATATTCAAGATAATAACCAAAAACTGCAAAATTTCCTTATAATTACCAATTTAGTGGCAGCAACCCAACAACGGGTTGTTAGATTCATCTGAAAATTTTAGGGCTGATAGAACTTGACCTAATGAACATGTTTACCTACATCAGATTTGCTCTAAATGCTTTAGTGTTTGAGATATAAGCCAAAAACTGCATGTTACCCCTATGTTCTATTTTAAGCCATGGCGGCCATGTTTTTGACAAAATAGAAAATAAAACACAAACTTTATTCTAGATATCCTAAGGATCATTCAGCTTAAGTTTGGCTGGAATTGGTTCAGTGGATTCAGAGGAGATGTTTGAAATAGTTAACACCTGACGGACAACGAAGGACGCCAAGTGATGGAACGGTGAACTAAAAACCTACGTCCGTTCTATCAGAAATATACTGAAAATGAAAAATAAACAACTTGTACCCTCGAGAGCGCTAACGAGGCGACTTTCCATAAATTTTAATATTTTTAAGGGTAATAACTCTGAAAAAAGTCGCCTGGCCACCAATATATGAGCTGCGTCGGATAGAAATCGACCTTATGCAAGTACACATATACGTGTACATGTATACGACTTGATTAATTATGGAACATTCAAATACGAAATAAAAGATAAATGTCAGTCTGGTTTGTAGGGTTCTTATAACAACTCAATTTTCAAACAGTAACAGACTTTCCGTAGAGATTTTTCATCCCGATATAGGTTAACAGATATATTGATATTAATGTGCATAAGGTCGACTTCTATCCGACGCAGATCATATAACTTGTTTGTGTTGTTGCTTATATTAACCTAAAGTTTTAGTTTCGTAAAAATCTGACAAGATTTGTACATGTGAGAGCGCTGCAAGGACCGGACAGACAGACAGACAGACAGACACACTGACAGCCAGATCGACACAAGGACGGACGGCAATCAAAATTTTAAGCAGACCATGTTTAAGTTTAAAAATTTTAAGTTCTAATATTGATTATTATTTTTTTTGGCCAAAAAAATAAAAAAACAAAACATCGGTCTTTTGTTTTAAATCAGTGGTTTTGATAAGAAAATAACACCCTGTAAAAATTGGACCAATGGGACAGTTATTAAGTTTGATACAGTGTTCCAATTTCATTATATATGGAAAATTAAATACTTTGCCTTGTATCGTTTCTTTTGTTGACTAGTATACTATTGCGCAGAGTCAGATTATGTACACATAATGGCTGTTACTATTTACTTCCCATGTAATTCGACATGTATCGCAATCTTTATGCAAAAATTTATTTGTCACTATGTCGATTTAACTGTGTCAAAATTGAAATTGAAGGAGAACTACAGAACCGTTCTTTCTATTCTAATATATAATGAATCTAACTGATGAAAAAGAGCTTGAAATAAATGCGGAATGTGCCCATTGGACACAGATGAAGCTCCCGCTTGCATATCATAAAAGTTATAAACGGACATAACTGAAGAACGGTAAAAGTGACACTAAGCAAACTTAAGTTAGAGAACATAAACCAACTTTGGGACGTACAATGGTAAACCTTAATGCCCCCTCCGCCACGGCAGGGGCATACAAATGTGTAAATATAACAATTGATAAAATTGAGCAAAATTCCATGAATGATCTTTGCACATGGTGGTCCTAAGGTTTTGAGAATCAAAACAGTATATACTAGTTAGATTTGTTTTACAGACAATCATGTTATGCTCATTGTTGAAGGCTGTACGATGACCTGTGGTTGTTCATTTCTATGTCATTTGGTCTCTTGCGGAGAGTTCTCTCATTGGCAATTACAACACATCCTCTTATTTTCATACAGAGACTTAAATGTTTTTGGAGTTCAATATTATTCTTTTTCACTAACAGCATCAATCCCAGGCACGACAACGGGTTATGTGTATTACCATTGTTTTTCAAACTTCTGAGAAGAGGGTGGTAAAGGGTTATTTTCGTGCAACGTGTTTTGCCATTTTTATTTTACGTACAGCCGTGAAAAAGGTTCGTTATTCACCGTATTTTCGTGAAATCGGTAAAAAGATCAACGTGCAAGAAATTTTTAATTGTTCGTTCATCGTGAAATGGCAATTTAATTTCGCATTCTTCCGTGCAGATACCCCCCTTTACGCTCCTCTGAGAAATCTTACATATAACTATAGAAGTAATGTTATGCTTAAATTCTTAAATGCTTAGTTCACAAGTAAACACAATAAGATTCTACATTTTTTTCAACAAGTTTTATAATTTTGAAAAAAATGATTTTTTTTCCAAAAAAAAGGGGGGGGGGGGCACCATACCCAGAGTGATGAGTTTTCGTTTTGAACAAGTATATCTTCATTAATCATATATTCTAGTTTAAAATTAACAAATGTGTGTCAGAATTGCACATACAAATGGAATATTTTAGCTTTTTAAGTTCAAATGTTTGATTATTCATCTGTTTGGTAATCTGAATTTTGGTGAAAATAGACAATTTTTGACTAAAATTATTTTTTTAGAAAAAAAAAAACACACGACTTTCTTTTTATTTTATGAATATATAGAATGTTGTCTTTCAAAATTTGTCATTGACATGTAATTGCATTGTTGGTCTTGGGAGATAAACAGATTTAAAATTTAGGAGTTTTTGAAACTTTTCATTTTCGAATTTTAACACATTTTTAAATGGTTGCTTTGGAAACAAACTATGTAGTAAATTCAAAATTTCAACGTTTTTGTATAGTTTGGGGTTTTGTTTGTCAATACTGTAAATATACTTATTGTTGGTATTTATCAACTTCATTTCAATGGTTCTTTAAAATCCCTTATATTTCGATTTTCAAAGACTTCTTTTGTACGTACTTTGGCAAAATTTTGTATGGATGGTTTCCATGGCAACCAAGGTTCAAAAGAAAAAAAATAATATATGAAACTTATTTTCATACCATACCTTCTTCATAAAAAAAATATAAAGACATTTGAAGAGGGGTCATGAATCGCCCATCAACAGGAACCTGCATGATTCTTACGAAAACAGGTACTTAATGTCTTATTTTGAAATATGTATTTTAATTATTTTATTATTTAATTACCTACATGTATCAGATATCCGCATGTTCCTGTTACACCATTGTTTCAAATGTATTTCCGTTAATTTTATTTTTTAGGATGTAATTCTTTACACTACATGATAGTGTGATAGAAGTCTGGATAATTGTACATTATTTTGTCATACATATTATTTTGATTTCTTTCTTTTATTGAGATGACAAGTAGTTTATCTTTTAATCACTGAAATAACTTAATCGGTCATTCTGTATGTACCACAGCTGTTTCATTTTATAGCAAGGACATACATTTGCTATTTGAAATTCAAATTAACATAATCATGATAATACTATTTGCATCTCATGATTGAATTATTTTTACATTTTACATGTTAAATATCTATTCGAACACTTACCTCTGTTGTGCTTGCACTGATTCATTTGAAAGAGTAAATGTTGGATCTGGTAAATATCGAAAAGTGTCGTTAAACGTTAACAGTGTCAAGTCATCTATTACAACCTGCAATCGACTCATATTTCGAGAGACAAGTGATATTCCAGTTTTGCACTTGATGTTCTCTGAACTGATTGTATTTCGAAATGAACTATAATAAATAAATAAATAAATCTTGAATACCAGTTCTTTTATGCGTTGAAGACCGTACTGTGACCTTTAATGGTTTACTTTTATAAATTTTGACTTGGATGGAGAGTTGTCTCATTGGCACTCATACCACATCTTCTTATATCTATTTGAAAAAATATATGTTATTCAAAACTATAATCACAGTGTCGAAAGAGCAAATGTTGTTTTGGTGAAAGGAACGGTCGTGTTTCCACATGGATACTATGTGTTCCGATTAAAATAGTAACAACTGTTGCACTAAATAACTATGTAATTAACATATCATGCACGTAACATACATTGATTTAAGCATTAAACGGCGCCTCAATACAACATTTTGGTATATTCGATTTTCAAGTTTCAATTCTGTAAATTACAAAATGTGAAGAAATTGAAATCAGTTAACCAACCTTGATTGCATTTGCCTGGAAAAACTTTCTTACAACTAACTACTGATCAAGCAATGTAGGCCATGTTTCTATATTCATGTATAAAATTAAAGATTTTTTTTCCTTTTCGATCGCATAAGTGAATTATGAGAAATTATACAAAAGTAATGATGTCTATTTTCAGAATTTTTTTTTTGTTGAAGACTCGTATCGCCTTTTTTGTAATTTCTGCATGTGTGATTAACTTCCGGTTTTTGTAACGTGAGTGATGACCAGAAATTTCGACAATGAGAGCCGATAAAACATATAGATGGTCAAACTGCTCATACGCATACGTTTCTATACAAATTGTATACAAGAGTAAAGGTCACAAATGTTACTATACCTGCATTCTATACGAGTCGTATTATCATAAAACCAGATGTTGTATCTATTGTTTCCTTCGAAACTAATATTGCGACCTGTAATGGTAACAATTGTGCCTCCAGATAAGATACCTTTTTTGGGTGCGAATTTGGAGATCTCAGGATCCTGAAATAAAATGCATAACACTATTTCTTTCTATTAGAGAACACCATAAATTAGGTCATTAATTGTATCATATTACATGTTTTGTGCAAAAAAGAAGTACATAAACTGCTCTTAGGTAAGATGTTTGATAATAATATAAACAGTGTCTTCTGCTATGTTTTTCTTTATTTATGTATTAACTATATCAGAAAACACGAAGAAGTAAACTAAATTGAGCATCTTGCGAATTATATCAAATTTAGTATGTAAAACGCTATTTTCGTTAATCTTTTATATAGAATATAAAATGTTTATAAGTTGTAATGATTATGGTATCAATTATTGAGAAATATTCATAGCTTTCATGCAACTTAACCGCTCGTATAAAAACAGAACCAAGAATAACCTTCTATGAAATACCTTAAAGGTGAAGGAAAAGTTATTGGAATTGCTTGTATTACCATTTACTGAAACATGTATGATGGTTGTCGTAGATGCGTTGCTTTTTTCAGTAAGACAAGTCAAACTGTAAAAAAAGCAAATCAACAATATAAAGATTTATCAAAGATTTCGTTTAGCTAGCGTTTATAACTACATTTAGCGAAGACTAAGTGAAAGAAAATGTTGCGTCCGTATGATTAAAATACTTGTTCCCATTAATTGCACCCTCTGCTGCTCAAACTGTAGTAAATAACATTATATTACGATTCCCTTTTTATAACTTTGTTGTTTTGTTAAATATTCTGTCAATATGTATTGAATTCTGATTTTGTATGGCATTGAATACACACTTCTTTTTAAAGTGTTATCTTGTGTTACCTCTTTAGATCGATGCAATGTTACAGTGCAGAATGAAAACACGCTAAGGTCAATGGTATAGATGTAATATTTTTGGTTTATGTTGCTCAGTCTAATGTGTTTTGTGTAGTGCTTTGTGGATTGTTGTTTGTATGTTTGCTTTTTTCGTTTTGCCTTGTTGTTGTCTACCTTATAAAACTAATCATTTAATAGCCTCTTGTTCAATGTTGATATTTTTGTGTATTGTTTACAGCTAGGCTTACTAAATACTAAAACGACGGAAGAAATAACTCAGTAGGTCGAACACATTTTATATGGTTAAATTAATGAATAGAGAAGCTTTACATAGTCATGTTTTAGTTAATGTTATATTCTTACTTCCCCTCACAGGATTTGGTCCCTTACTTGTTTGGAAATCCCACAGATTTGTATATTAGGCAGTATGATAAATGTCCCCGGATCTTGATTTATTATTGCAGCACCTGATATGTTCTTCGGTTATTAGGAATATTTGTTAAATCTTAACGTTAACCTTGACGCATAATTAGAAGATGATTGATTGATTGTTGGTTGCATAATTAGAATACAAATGTTAGTTAAATTTAAAAAATCATACACAAAAGATAAATATGCAAGTGAAAAAATTTCGTAATCATTTTAAACGCAAGAACACAAATCAGTTTATTATGTATAATAGCACAGTATGTACATACTTTCAGATCTAGAGGACTGCACAAACATTGCATTAAGATTTATTCATCGAAAAGAAGTTGGATGGTATTGACTTTTCTAAATTGATATTATATTGTTTTGCATATATTTATACATGTTATCTTGTCTTCTAGATTCGAATTTTCAGTTCTAAATACCGTTGAATAGAACGTAACGAGAGGTTTGGTTACAAATGATACAACTATAAACACATTGATCAAAGGACAAGGACATATACAGCTACACATTGTACAGTTAATCTCTTATTTTTCCGTCAATATTATTTAGTAACCAGTAATTACATGTTTGTCTTATAGTTCTGCCTGAAACATTAGCTCAACAGAATATACATTTATTCTGAAAGCATCGCTGCATGTATGTTTGTTTGAAACAAAATGTTTATACTGTTCGTGTAATGCATTTCACTTTGTCTTTCATATATACGATGAGTATAAGTTGTGCAAATTATGAATTGAACATAATTTAATTTCTAAAAGATATTAGTAGTAATTGTATGCAGTGGTCCTTATCACTCTGGTATTTGCATCAATACGTGTGTCAGTGTAAAACATAAAACGCTGATAATAAGTGAACATAGGAACATCATAACATACTTGGGGACTTAGAATCTACTATAAGCGGAAAAAATACAAATACATTGTAACCCTGTCTGAGGTCATACAGGACATGAATTTACTTGAAAATAAAAAATAATGAGATGTGGTATGATTGCAAATGAGACAACTCTCCACTAGAGACCAAATGACACATAAGTTCACAGCTATAGGTCACCATACGGCCGTCAACAATGGCCCAGAATGACAAATGTAAAACAATACCAAACAAGAAAAATAACAGCCTGATGTATGTACAAAACAATGAACGAATAACAATTATGACATACAGCAACAAACGACAAACAATTGAAGTACAGGCTCCTGACTTGGGACAGGCATATACAGAATGTTGCCGGGTTATACATGTTTGAGGATACCTAACCTTTCCCCTAACCTGGGACAGTGTTGTGGCAGCACAACATATGAAATAACTATAAAAATCAGTTGAAAAGGTATTATCTCATTAGATCGATACAAAGCAGAAAAACAAGTTACAAAAACACACCCGGACGTGGCAGGGTATTTATACATCCCCATAACAAAAAAGACACTAAGTGCAGATTTGAGAGTACTCACAGTAACTGACAGCTAGTTCGAAGCCAATAAAAAGAAGTTAAAAGATCAAGTTTCTAAGACTAGAATATCAATAAGTACACATTCATTATCAAATGGACTTAGTGTAGGTTGGAGTATATACTAGGTTTATTGAACTTTACTTAGAATGCGGTGTTTGGACTGTTACGTTGTTACATCGTAAACCATCAAAGTCAACAGAAATACTATCGTGCACGTTTCCAATAAATTGTCCAATTATTGTTACCAATGTACCACCATTAACTGGTCCACTTAATGGATTCACCTGTGTGAGATAAATTTAAAAAAATAATTATTATTGATAGATATTTAACCGTAGGATCAGTTGGCACAATATTAAATACAAGTTTTATTTTCTTTTGATAAAAGCTTTATGTCATAAACAGTAAAGTTCTTATATCCTAAATGTATCCGTTATTCCACACACAATCTTATTTTCATTTGATTTTTTATATGTGATATAGAATTTGTGTATATGTTTAATGACTTGAAATCCGCTTGACTACTCTATAAATGTAAATCTGCTGTTAAGTGTATACTAGTATATGAAACAAACAATATCATTATACTGCTTCACGTGTTATATAAAAATAAGGAGATGTGGTATGATTGCCAATGAGACAACTATCCACCAAAGTTCAAATGAAGTGGATGTAAGCAATTATAGGCAACCGTACGGCATTCAACAATGAGAAAAACCCATACCGTATGGTCGGCTTTAAAATCCCCGCCATAAAAAATATGAAACATTCAAATGAGAAAACTAACGGCCTAATTTATAACAAAACAGTTTACGAAAAACAAATATGACAGACATGAACCAACGACAACCACTGAACTACATGCATACATTGTACTTCCTTGGTGTAACACAGTTATAGAGAAAGAACATAGATTTACGAATTTTGAATTAAGCGTGAAATTTTATCCCCGAAGAATTCTTATGAATAGGTATAATAGTAATCTGTATTTTGCAAGTAGTCAGTATACCAGAGAGCTAAAATATGGAGTTTTAGGGTTGTTCATTGCCATTACATACTCGCTCATAGTGTGTCATAGTGATTATGAGGCTCACTTTCAACACTTATTCATGTAAAGATGAGAAATAATTTGGGACGTTGAGTAAATTGAGAGATATTTTAATTTTAAAAAAACAAGTCCGTTTTCTCATTTAAGTAATGATCCATATGGAAAGAATTCATCGATTTAGAAAAGAATAGTTTTAAATTAATTGCTATAAGAAGATGCTATCTACATTTTCTATTTATCATGCAATTTAATATATTAATACACATTTATCATTTTTAATTGTTGACTTCTCTAAAAAGGTAAGACGTGCACCTTATAAATTTCTGGTAAACACTTCACTACATAATTGTCTTCAACACGATGGTAACATTCTGGATCTGAAATACAAACCACTGACAATCAAATTATTATCAACATTCTGTTGAACATTTTTAACCCATGAAAACAAATAATTTTAAAACTGGAATCAGAGATGTCTTCAAAATAAAGTGTTGTGACATAGTTTCTGTCATGAAATTGTCTTTATCAAAGAAGGCAAAACACGCATTCATAAAAAATTAAACTTTGTGAAATAAAATAAAATCTAATAAAAGCATACCAGTAATATTAAAAAGTAAAACGTATTTTGACAAACAGTGAACTACCAAGGAGACATTCAAGCTTATAAGTATCATTTTTGAATGTATTGTTTTGTGTGGTTCGTTCACTTTTAAATTCAATAGAAACAGTAAAGTAGATATCAAATCATATACTGATTTAGAGATAAAATGCTACAAGTATGTGTCTAATCACTTTTGTTTTACCATCCATTAATAGAATTAAACAGCTGCCTTTTTTTAAAATTTATATATAAATCTTGTAGCGAACAAAAATGCAAAGTTTGCTGCAACGAAAGACAGATGAATGATCTTTAGTGGCAATAGCAAGTTTACAATCGTTACAAAGCATATGAAAAAAGGCGTTATACCTTTCCTTTAAACTGGTTTCCCTCTGTTTAAAAGAGTAAATTCCTTTGTACAGCTAATCGCAACCAATAATGATTTTCATTTTTTTTTGGCTGGAAGTTATTGCAATTGAAATGGACGATTTTTTATTTTTTTTGTCATTATCTTATAAGCATTTCTTGATATCTATTCAAGTATTTTGTTATTTTTTCAATTGTTGTTAGTCTTGTTAGTCTTTAAATGTTTCTTTTGTCATTTTGATTTAGTAGCATGATAGTTCAAACATATCCAAATGCTATATACTGTTCTGATACAGAACGCTTTATGAATTCAGAGATTATCGACTATTTTAGTAAACCGCTTTAAATTTTTTCATTTTCTCAACATGATTGAAAAATATTGTTTACACAACATCTTTGTTTATATTCATTTTTTTTTAATTTAAATTCAATACCAGTTTTCATATGTGACATTATTTGGAATTAAACACAAGTCATATGCTGGATCAGCTCCTTATAATTATTATCTGCTAATTACAAGATGTTACGCTGGCCAGATGGTTCAACGACTCACTACTCCATGTCTACAGCAATCTAACTCAACACCGTACAGTACAACAAGTCAATGGTTCGCGTCAGCATGCACTCCAAAACCCATTGTAGATAAGGGAGTTTTATGTCGCGCAGACGTTCGAGGACCCTGTATCCGAGGTGGTTGGTAAATGAGTATTCGTTTGTAACAGTACTAACAGATATCTGTTGCAGACCACCCTGAACAGGCTTCCTATAGACATTTAGAACATCCACGACTCATCCACCCGTAAAACATCGACGTCATTACCAGGCTGCCAGTCTGATCAACAAGGCCCTGGAAATGACCGTTGTGAAGAGCAGCACTTCAAACCAAAATAGTCAACATACCAAATCATCATACGCAAAACCAAAATGGGCGCCTTCTTTTCCAACTTGACGACAACAACAAAAACAATTTTGATGCTCATCAAACGCCTTATGGCACCGAACCGACCATACAAAGGCTTACCAGCCGGTCACGGTAGTTAATTACCACATAGTAGTATGTAATAAAACAAAGGAGATGTGAAATAAATGTCAATGAGAAAACTATCCAAAAGTGTCCAACAAACTTGGATTTAACCAATTATAGGTCACCGTACGGTCATCGCCAGTAAGAAAAACCCATATAGTATAGTCAGCTATAAAAGGTCACGATATTACAAAATGTGAAACAATTCAAACAAAAAACCATACTTATTAGTAGTTATTGGCTTAAACTAGATTCAGTAACTGCGAGTGCTCCCAGACCTGTAATTTGTCTCTTTTGTGTTTTATTTAGTTGTAGTTGTCGATGTGATGAGTCAGAATGTTGTGGGGTTAACTTTACCTAAAAATGTGTCTTGTGTCATAACTGTGTAATATTATTTTATGGTATGTTTATAACTTTAGTTTTTAGTTTTTCACAAGTACACCAAAAACAAGCTTTCAAACTAAATCATCATATCTATTTAAGAATTGAGTAAAAGTTTGCAGTAATTTGTGCAAACAGAGTAGTTTGACTAAATTTTGATAACATTTTTTCCAGGGCATTTTGAGCACCAATTACGTCTATTATTTAATAATATACATAGGTATGTTAATAAGGGGCAACAGATCGTAAATCCATTTTAAATATACAAACAAAGTAAAAACAACTTAGATAATCACATGAACTCCCCAAAAAGCGATACTGGTTGCATCAACAGCGTCTCTGTCCTGACATGAATCCTGCTTTGTATTCAACACCCGCCATACGAATCAACTACCTTAAATGGAAACAAGGTAACTACACCGGATTCAATTTTATGTCTCCTCATTGATCATGTTGATGATCAAGACCACACTTTTGAAAATTAAATAAAGATGGTAAACATCGGCACCAAAAATGATGAAAAATATGACCAAACCTGGACAAGGAATTAGAGAAATGCTCGAGGGAGATTCATTCCTTTTCTTACTTTGGTTACAGCAAAATCATTGAAACAAGACACGTATTGTCATGCCACTACCGAATTACTGGCATACTGGACTGATAATACCCTTAAGGACTGATAGTTTAAATGTTCCATGGAAGATCTTACGAATTAACATCTGATTGCATCGATGGCTTAGTATACATTATAACACTATTTCTAAAGTTATATTTTACTCCAAACAGAATGCCAGTTACAATTTATATTATGGATCTGCTGACGTTTTATAGTCATGTACTCAGTTTATCTAATGAAATATATTAAAGTCGTCCATACCAAATTCACATGTATCTCCAATCCATCCGTTTAAACAGCCATATGTACAATGTCCAGTTTCCAAGTGACATGGTCCACTACAGTTTACCGGGTATAGTTTAGTACATAAAAGTCCAAATTGCGTAGGAGGGCAACCTAAAACAACGCGCATAACATCAAATATTGATATCATTTTGTGGTACCAATCCTTCAGAGTTTTCAATCACTTATTAACTCAGAAAATATTATCAACTTTGTTTTACTATAGAATTTAACAAATTTTATCTAGCAGTTATTGATGTGTTAACTGGAGCGATTAACTCACAAGCTGAACAAAAGTCCGCAGGACTTTTATGTAAAGTGTGTCGTAACTAAGGAGTTAGCCACTATATTGAATTTCTGAAATCTATATTTTCGATTAATGCAGTCGAATCTAAAATGAAATAAAACTTACCTCAAACACTTCATTTCAATCAGATATAATCCGAATTAGAAGCGTGCAAGTAACAGAATAACCTTCAGCATGAGTGTGTTCATTCGTATAACGTCATGTTTTCCATGACCTTAACGCACCAAAATCATACATTAAACTTCGCGGATTTTTTTTTAACTTTAATCTTCTACATTCTCCAAGCTTATAAACCAATAACGTATATTACAGTAAAATGTATCTGTTTTCTATCTCAACTTGCTTGGGAATCCTGGATACAATAAGACTAATAATAAGACTAATAACTGATCATAGATACCGAGATTAAAAATTTGTATGACAGACACGCGGTTCATCTACAAGAGACTCATCATTGAAGCTCGAAACAATAAAGTTAAAAAAAGGCCAAATAGAGTACGAGCTGAGAAGCAATATAAAAAGGACGTAAATGGCAAAAATGTTTTGGCAAATACAGCTTAAGTATGTAATCCATATTATTTCGATGAGTTTAAAGTTCTGTAAATACATTTTGTAGTTGATTTATAATGATGGCCATAATAATGATTATTCATGTCAACACAGAAGTGCTGACTACTGGGCTAGTGATACCCTCGGGGAGAAAACTTGTGCTTGTTTCCAGAAACAATAGCCTGCAGCAATACAAGGAAACTGTATTATTTGTTTTCAGGAAAGTAAAAACATTAATGTCCTCTTTAGATGTCATGATGAAATATTCTAATTTCACAATTACATATATGTATTATCAAATTCTTTAAACTGTTCTCTAATTACACATTCAACAACAAAAAAATCAGTGATTACTAATATAATTCGGAAGCCATAGCAACCGTTGCCATGGAACATAACAAAATGAAGACGCGCTTAATTTTTTTTCTTCTCAAGACTGTACATTAAAATAGGTATCATTTTTTTTAAATGTTGAAAATTTAAATATAAAAATTACGGAAATGAAAAACAATACCTAAAAATGGAAGATATTTTAATATTCTTTAAAATTTTACAGCGTATGTTCTCTCTTGTGTTTTCTCGGTTTTGTGTACTGATAATTAACAAAAGATTAAAGATTGGCCCTGGAAATATCTTCGGCAAATTGAACCCATCATTAGATCCGGTTTTTTTATGTTACTTGTAAATCATAATCATAACTACTGTGTATTCCTGCTTATATGTTCAGGTGATGTTCATGTCAAATATTGCTTGTAATTAATGACATATCCCCACTGCTACTTATACTACGACGGGGGTGTCAAACGAACTTGACTACACATGAGGTTCTCGAACTGATGGCCATAGCTTAAAATAGGTGTTGATGCGAAAGTATGTAATTGGTCAATGCAATATGTGTATAGTTAGTCTGCTCAAATATGGATAAAAAATTACCCCTTTCCTTTTGGTTATGTTTATATCAAGATGAGATATTTATATATGTATCATTGGTATTTTGTTCGTTGGGAATCTTACTTCTAAAATTATTTACAAATTCCATTGAATACAATCTTTTTTGCACAAAAATGATAACACAGTACTGTTTTTTGTTCACTGCCAAAATCTCCCGAAATATACGCGAAAACACATTGACTTGGTTGCCATGGCAACAATTCCGTAACATAATTTCTCAATCATCTGGTCTTTGTTCATAATTGAATGACTAGGCTCTAAATTCCTTGATCATACGTTTCAAGTTGAAGTTGTCGAATATTACATGGAATTGTTAATTAATCTTTTAAATAACATACCATTTCATGACATCTTGATATTAATTTTAATGAGAAAAGGTAAAAATTCCTCCCATACGAGTGCCTTACAGTCAAAGATGTAATAGGGTTGTATCTATTGTAACCTTTTCTTTGAAAACAAAGACATTAACAACCATAAATGCAAACAATACAAAAATCCTTGCGTAAGGCTTGTTTCCTTGATTAAGAACACCTACTTTCAAAAGCAAGTTGAGAGAAATTTGTTTTTGTTTTTAAAGGAATAGAATATTTTGCTTCATGATATGCATAACTTCGGACTTTATTTTACATGTTTTAGTCTCGACCATGGTGGTTCCTTTTATTAAATAATGATCGACAGATCATAGTCTTATTTTACTTATACGGAGATTTGCTAGCGAACCTTTCAACACTATGATGAAATTATAAATGATTTGTATCTTCTAGATAATTGTATGGGATAGTAAATCGATAAACTTATGTTGCCATTAATCACTTACACAAAAAGTATTTATGTGTATCGATGCATATCAAATTCTCTAGATTAACTAATATCATTTCAAACTGTGTTTGTGTTCAACATGTTCAATACAAAACTCACCAACAATCCCGATTTCACATACTTCAACTTCAGAATCATCATTAATCGAAAGTTCATAAATCAAATATCGGAAAATGTTGTCAATCATGATATCAGTTATTCCAGTAATATTCCCGGAATATAAAAGAGTTCTATTTGTCCGAGAACCAGTTATGTTTGAAGCGTAAATGGTATGGTTAACTTCCTTTGTAGTGTTATCTGAAACGAAAATAATTGAAAGCCATAAATATTATTGTGTCATGGTTTTATGTGTTTGACTTTGGAAATATATGTTCTACAAATCGTGAAGATGTTTGAAGGGAGGAGCAAGTATGTAATACAACTTCCACTCAGTGACGTAATACAGCACAATAACTTCCATTTTTTTGAAAGTACAGTATCAAAAAAGTCATTAGTACTTCAGAAATGCTTCCAATTGAAAAAAAAGAAAAAGAAATATGTTGCTTGTACAAATTCGTTTTCTAAACAAAGCTCATCTGGAAAACAAATCTCAATTAAACATTAATAAATTAAGAATATAAAAAATTATATACATACGTTTGAAAACATGCAAGTCTACATTGGCTAGAGGTATAGGGGGGGGGGGGGGGGGGGGTTGAGATCTCAAAAAAACATGTTTAACCCCGCCGCATTTTTGCGCCTGTCCCAAGTCAGGAGCCTCTGGCCTTTGTTAGTCTTGTATCATTTTTAATTTTAGTTTCTTGTGTATAATTTGGAGTTTAGTATGACGTCCATTATCACTGAACTAGTTTACATATTTGTTTAGGGGCCAGCTGAAGGACGCCTCCGGGTGCGGGAGGTTCTCGCTGCATTGAAGACCCATTTGTAGCCTTCGGCTGTTGTCTGCTCTATGGTCGGGTTGTTGTCTCTTTGACACATTCCCCATTTCCATTCTCAATTTTATTTTCTCTAAATTTTCTAAGTTACGAAAGTGAGCAATGATCACTTATCGTAATTAATTTTTTTTATCATTTCTTTAAAAACCAGAGACAATAAAAACTAAAGTGTAACCCGCATAAATCGTCGAAATGAAATTTGACATCGGTAATCCATGTTGTCCAATATTGAAATTTGAAAAGCAATGTTTGAACGGTTCTCAATCTATAAACAGAAATAAATTGTACCAACTCCTTTAAACTGCCGGCCTACTTCCAAGAATTGATCAACATATTTTCGTTAAGTAAACCTAATGAAAATTTGAATATCATCATGGCAATTCTAGTTTTTTACAAGGAGTTTTATTATCAAACGATGTATGCAAGACTATTTTGAGAAAAAAACAATTGAAAATTATACATATCTTTGTCAAAATTACATTGAAAGAGTGGTCGATATTTTTCTGCGTAGACGCCTATTGGCAAAAATTCCACGTGTTTTATTCAAGACAAACTTTAAAGACGTCGTCAACAAAAAACAATGAATGGCTTTAAGAGTATACTGTATCATTTTCAGGAACTATTTTAACTGCATATATGCGCAGATCTTTCGGTGAAGACAAATCCAAAACTTTCTGCACGGACGGTGGGGAAAATTTCATGAATATGTATATGATACAAAACAAATAAATTGAGATCGATTCGAACACACCTCGAAACGAAAGGGTTAAGAAATCACAAATTAAGTGTTGACTAGCTAGTCTTCACTAGGGATGAGCTACGTGGTCATCTACACATGATTACAAACAATCCTCTCAATTATGACCGTTTTCTGTAAAACGGGCAAAGAGGAGTTGCGATAACAAAATTTTATTTAATCCATCAACATATGTAGAAAGTTCCATAATTCTTGAAAACCTGATGAAATTTAAATTGCATTATGAAAATGGTTCACTTCACATCATGGTAGACTCTAGAAAAAAGTATGAGAGCACTCTGCAAAGTGGTCGTAAATGATTTGCATTCACAAAGTGGCATTACGGGATAATAGATACACAAATTATCAAAGTCCGAAAACTCCTGTACAAATTGTCAAATAAAAATGACGGTTAATGGGGTCAACAACACTTGATGTCTAAAAATTCTGCAATGTTTAAGAGCTTACTATCAAATGGTCTCAGAGGTCTTGCGTTTACAAGGTATAACTGTGACAATTTATACTCCATAAACATTGTTAAAATCCTATTACGCCCTTAAAATGATCAAATCAAAATGACAGTACATGTATAATATGGTGAACTACACATGATCTCAGGCAATATAATAAAGTATAACACCTTCCTGTCTATAGTCTTAGATCTAGAGTTATTGCGTTCACATGCCACTGTTGGTGCATATTTCATACCAAGGGCATTAACAGCCCTGTAATCAGCACCTCTTTGTTTACATGCATTATCATTGATATAGTCATAATCATAAATCAACTGTTTACAAACCTTTGACTTTTACTACCAATCTTTTACCACAGAAAAGATTACCTTGCCTATATTTGGCATAACCTTTCGTAATTTTTAGTTTTCAATGTTCTTCAACTTTGGCCATTTTAACGTTTTACATTCGAACGTCACTGATGATTCTTTTGTAGACGTAATGCTCGTCTGACGTACAAATTTTAATCCTGGTATCTATAATGAGTTTATTCACAATGTGTTGTTTCCACACATCACCATCATAGGATTAAATAAAAATGATGGTCGATATTATCAACTATACACAATGGTAAACAACAGTACAAAGTATGAGAGTTTTTCTGTCAAATGGTTGCGTTTACAAGGTGCTATTGTTACAATTCGCCAAAAAACGGTCAAAGTCTCATTACTGCTGTAAAATTCACCGAATCACTCTGGTGGTTCATTATGGTCAGCTACGCATGGTGGCAACAGAGTATGAAAGCGTACACTAAATGGACTTAGAGGAGATGCATTCACAAGGTGTCACTGTTACAATACCCAAACACACTAGTCAAAGTCCCATAACTCCCGCGAAATGTGCTATTAAATTCACGATATAGTACTGTCAAGAGAGTATGACAAAAAATAATCCTACCAATTATGAAAGCTTTTTTGTCAAACGGTCTTTGAGTATTGATATGTTTCGGACGGACAAAGACTATATATACTATACCATATCCCCTGCGGCGCTACGACTGAGGAATGAAAAGACAGGGATTATATTCTTAATTATCATAAATGTTAAGCAACGAAAAGCAAATATTCATGATTTGACTCCTTTTTTACTTATTTTAAAAAGTCAAGTCCATCCCAACACGTTTGTTTTTAAAGATACTATTTAAATATTTGTGTTAAAGTAGTATAAGGGTCGGGTCGTCCGTCATTTTCAGATCGCAAAGAAGAACAAAGCAATCAGCTTGAATATTGAAATGAATTCGATTAAATTAAATGCAAATCTTTAGTAAGACTAATTACAGAAATGAAGACAACTGTTTGATGTTATCTTATTTCAACGACTGAAGCACATTTTTTTAATTGTTCGATTTTTTATTAACTTGGAGTAATAACAGGAAACAAGTCGTTATTGAGTCGTCAGCAATTAAAGATACTGCACAACAGAGAAACTATGATATATTTATAAAGGTGTGCAACGATACTGATAAATGAGGATTGTATACGAGTAAGATGAAGGGATGTATAAGAGATAACTTAAATCATCACATAGGAGATATCATTTTAATGTATGGATCCCGCATACAAAATGTATATATAATCTTCGCTCGTTTTTATTAAAATTGGAAAGAGTTAAACAAGGCTAAGGAATTATTAGACGAAACTGAAAAAATATATACGGAAAATAACAAATTATCTGGTTCGAGTGTGTTGCTTAAATCTTTTAGTCTGGTGCTAGATGTGTTTTTTGTTGTTGTTATTATCCTTCCCAATGTTTTTAGTCTTGAGTGGTCTAACAGTAAGTACCCTAGAAATGTCTGTTTTCTTGATACGAATTAGGTTTTCAACAGTTACAATATAGAAATATTCTGATAAGGCAACATTTTATTTAATAGTTCAATTCCTCTTAAAAAAAACCACAGACATCCAGCAGGACTAAAGGAGCAAAAAAATTTAATGAAACTTGAATTAAAGAATAATATATAATTTTTTGCCATATAAGTAATAAAATAGAATGATAATGAAAATAACATATTAGAAATGTTATGCGTTTTACGCGCTTTTCTAAATTGATCAGGAACGCTCAAAATCACTTCTTGACAACTAGGTATAAACATAAAATGAATGCAAATCATAAGTGAATATTTTTTTTGATCGGACGAAAATATTGATATGAATTATCGAACAAGAACAAATCTGTAATTCAGGTTTAAAGAATAACTTAAAAGATTGTAAATGGCTGCACAAATTTAGAATAAATCAAATACAAGAAGCTAACTGTATTTAAAAATAAAAATGCAACTAAATATATATACGTTTTACACTGTGAAATATATATAATGTAGAAACAACTAACTTTAACAAATGATATATATTTTTTTAAAGAAAACGATATTCTCTTAAGTAAGAGTGTTATTTTGGTATTTGTATAACACATTATATGTGAAATGTAATGTTTACTATAAACATACCACCAATAACCAGAAATATTTCTGACACAAAACTTCGTTCCTTAATGTCAATCTGTATCCATGTTTCAGGACCATAAATTTTGGAACACGATGAAATGTTTCCATTATTTATTTGACTAGCAATATGACTTCTTGTTGAATTCAGCGAAACTAAACCGTCAGCTGCCAAATTATCTGTGATAAGAAAGATAAAGTAGAATAATGCTGCGGCGATTTCCATAGTGGTTTCTTTGTGTTAACAGATAAAGAGTTGATTCCACTTTTAAGGATTTATTCCTTGAATGCATACTTCCTGTGATCTGCCGACAAAATACTGGTACAAATATGTTGGCATTCAGAGAATAGTATCTGATTAAAATTTAATGTTGTCAAAACATTAAGTAAATATAATTTGTGCAGGTAAGCTTAGTCTTCCAATTAAAAGTTCAGGTAAAATTACCATTTTTCTGTTTGCAAAATTTTTTATTTTGAAGGAAGGGTTAGAAACGTTTAGCTCTTGTTGACAGCTCAATGGAAATATATAAAAGATAACTATGATAAGAAATGTATATGTTTTCACGTAACTGTTATGGATACCAATAATTGGTGCAGTCCTTTGTCGCAAATCTTTATTTTTTAGAAATATTATTTGCAGCATTTTTTCCCATTATGTATCAATTACGACAGAATACGGAATTCATTTGCGCCAAATAACTGTATGCATATTTATCAAATGATCGATGTTAACTGATAGTTATCTTAGTCATTCGCAAACACTTCAGTGAATAAATAAGTATTGTTGAATACAAAAGCGTCGATATTTATGTGGTGGTGTTGTACAACAAAAGATTATACTGATGAATTTGATGATGATCATGGTACACGCAAGTTGTTTCGTCACTTGCTTTCATTTCGATTTTGTGGTATTTTTCCAAACACAGCTTTCAATTGAAAAGAAAACGGGGAATGTGTCAAAGAGACAACAACCCGACCAAGGAGCTGACACAGGCCAAGGCCACCAATGGGTCTTCTACGCAGCGAGAAAATCCTGCACTCTAAGGTGGGCTTCAGCTGGCCCCTTAACAGTAATGTATACTAGTTCAGCGATATGGACGCCACACTAAACACCAAAAAATAAAAATGAACCAAAGTTAATAAAAAACATACAAGACTAACAAAGGCCAGAGGTCCATGACTTGGAACAGGCGCAAAAATGCGGCGGTGTTAAACATGTTTTGTGCGATCCCAACACTCCCCCTATATCTTCAGCCAATGTGGAATAAACAAAACAGCAATACGAACAGTAAAATGAGTTTAGTTATAATCCCAGTCTGATTTAAGAATAGGAAAAAGAAGAACTAAGTAAAATGACAATGATCAACGTAAATTAACAAAGTACTACTAGCAGTTACTGACACGCCAGCTCCGGACCTCAATTAAACTGATCGAAAAATTATACCTCCATCATATGAAAATCATGCACAGTCCCTTCCGTTAGGGGTTTAGTGTCATACCATCATATATAATACGAGAAGAATATAACCCGTATCATGCCAACAAAAGGTTTTAGAAAAAAGTGTTTATTTCCGATGCAAAGACCCTATTAGTGAATCCAAAAATTAAAAAGATGCCTTCTTTAAAGCACATATAAATTAAGCTCACATATATTTAAAATTTACAGCATGAATAGTCACATTTTCACAACATTTACATTTTTAAGTAACACCCCATTTCGGACATTAAAAAAAAAACATCTATAGATGCAACTGATTTCATTTATTTGTTTCAATTTTTTTTTTAAAGTGTTTATCCATTTTCCTTGTTATTCCATTCTATTTGATTTTTTTTTTCATTTTGACAAACGTGATATTTTTAATGTGCAAAATGTGTATCTTTTGTATATCCTTTTTTTCAAAATAACTAAATTTTGATCTAAAACAACACCCATTCACTAAAACATCATCTATTTTATTTATTTTGTTGGCATTCGAGGAATAAATAGTTTTTAAAATATAAGCATTCGTGGAATCAACCTTTTAAGAAACAGGAAACATTTCATAATAGAGTAATAAATGGAAAGTTGAATGAAGTTTCCTGAGTAAAATTCTTACTTATTTCTTGACACACAAAAATTGATAAATATTGATATTCTTCATGTTCTTATACTATTATTAAAACTGAAACGTCATATATTTAGATCAATTGTGTTCCATGATTTGTATAAGATTTTGATGATTTAATCACAATTACGATATAATAACGCATATATTTGATAAAAATATTTATATACATGCGTCAGCGGGCTCTTTCAATGGTTGTAGGAACAAAGTAAAGGATGTCTGACTTGCAAGCAAATACTGAATACCCAGACTTATAACAGTCAATCCACTGGTACGAAATACACCATATCTTTGCAATGTTACTTGCAAAACTACAAACACTGTGTATCTTCAACAGTGTAAATGTGGTAAACAGTATGTTGGTGAGCTAGAACAACGATTTCACAAAAGTATGAACGGCCGTCGTAGTGACTATGCATGTTAGTCAACCTTCCACGCAGTCGACATTTGATATTCCTTGACCACACTTAGGTAGATCTTTATCGACTTACTTTCACCAGCATTGACAACAGCACTGCTTGGTCTAGGAGGAGAGAATCACTCGGGCAAAGATTTTGGATAAGAAAATTAAAAACGTTGGCACCAAATGGGATCAATTAAATCGCGCAGTGCTACCCACCGCAGTTGGATGTGTTAGTTTCATTTGGGATACATAAATACGCAGCCTCTTTTGTAAATATTAAAAATTTGCGTTTACTTTGAATTTTTTTAATTATACAAGCGTGGTTCGGTTTTAATTTGTATTACGTTCAATATTGTTTTAATAATATCAGAATAAATTGATAAGATTCATTTTACATCATACTGATGAAGGATATCTGTTATCTGTTATTGATACATTGTTACTTGTATTTACTGCTTCCATTTTTGATATTGGTGTTGTTTTGTACACTTTTAAGGTTTATTTATATATACATCCAATTGCTCACATTTATTGCAGTTTCTTCCAGTTCGATTTTCCATGCAACCCTCACTACAAACTAAAGTATCTACATTGCAAATACTATTTATACAGTTGCATCCCCAAACACAGGAACCATTTCCCGGGTAGCAATGCTGATCTATACAATCTTTGGAGCAAGGTGTTGAGCAATTACTTCCCCAAAATTTCTTCGGACAACCTGAAAATATGAAAACAATGCAATGGGAGGGATTCATTTCACAATAGTGCTTATTTGAAATAAACAACATTTGAGATCATTGCTGACATAAATCAGCGATTAATTTGTCTATATTTTTTATTGAAATATGCTAATTTTGATGCAGAGATGCAATTCGTCTGTTGACCTTTTTATTGAAATTCAATGAAGTAATTACACCCATTGATAAAAACTGTTTTATAAATACAGAATACGTCATGATTGATTTAAATTAATACATTTGGCTGTATAAGAAGAAGTTGTAACTCAAATAGTTATTTTTTGTTATAAATATTAATGAATGTTCAATATTTTTTTTAGTTAGTTATCAAGCAAGACAAAGTGCGTTGAACCAATAATTTCTCTTCTATTTTGTTAAATTAAATAAGCAGTACCAGTTTCAAGGTCTGATATGAATTTGACACAATATTAAAGAATCCAATTTATGCTACATATTTAAGGAGCTGATATAAGCGAAAAGAACCAAAACTAAGAAGTGCATACATGTAACCCTTTTTGTTTATTGTTTATAACAAACTGAAACAAAGCGATGATCAAATAAACTGATTTATAAGATAACAGTGTAAAAAAACGAAAGACCAAAATGGAACGTTTTACCATAGAGGAGTGTATACATGAATTAAATCTTCCCATTGGAAGTTAGAATATTTAGGATAATTATATCAATGCAGTGGTATTAGACCATACATGTACATGATGTCCTGTCACAATTTATCAAAATCTTTTTTAAAAGAGAATGTATGATGAGGTTACTTTATTTGGCCACTTGCATTCGAAAATCAAAACGTACAATAATGTATTATGAATATATCAAATAACATGCTTTAGATGTGCATAAGACATTATCAAAATAAGAAGATGCGGTATGATTTCCAATGAGACAATTATCAACCCAATTGAAGAAGAAATAAGCAATTATAGGTCACAGTTCGGTCTTCGACAATTTGAAAATACAAACCGTATAGTGGGCAAAAGACCAAGGCATGAAAAAATACAATTTACGAAAAACAAATATTGCACAATAACCAACTTCAAGTTTCCCACTGAACTGCTGTAACCGTTTGTTACAGAATGTGGCGGGATAAAAACATGTTTGTGAGCGAAAACAGGCTCCAAATACTTAACCTGCTGGTATATGAGATACGGCTCCGAACACTCACACAATGAACTTAGTGGATATCGCACTTTCAAGATATGAATAGCGCTTGAAGAAACGATGATGTGCGATGGTCAGAGAAAATTTGAAGTGTTTTGATATCGTTTTAAAAACGTTCAATGTAAAGAATTAAATTAATAAATATGATTTGTAAAAAGGAGTAACGAAACCACATAAAAAAAAAACTATCAAATGCATTAATATACACAAGAATTTGCATTTCTAAAAATAAATAAATGATGTTTTGAAATCATCAACGTGAGTAGAAAGTTATTATTGTAGCATATAAAATATGGCGGTATCCGTCTTCCCTAAAAAGATGCAAGATGAAAAATTCTTAAAATTGTCATCCTCATTACAAAAATATTACCTCACTTAACATGCTGAATACCTTCATGTATCGACACACGTATTCAAAATGCGTTAGCAACATGTTAACGCACACTTTTCTTAGAAATAATGTTACTTGTTAATTTGTTTCTATATTTATGAAACGTGTCCCGATATAAGGCAACATATTTATAACTCAGAATGCATGTCGTTGCAATCGAAATTTTTAATGTGTAAGCAAATGTGCCAAACATCTATAAAGTGATAACAGTGTTTTTTTTTACATTATGTTTATAATTTAATTGCTTCAAAATTTACCAATGTATGTGATATCGACAGTAATTTGTAATTATTTTTCAGCAGGACATACATTTGTAAACTCTGCAAGTTTTTGTCTTACTATGATGTTCTTCTGGATGTTCATGGCTTTACAATGACAATATAACTGTATACTGTTCGCTACATATACTCATGACAATGCACAATAATGCTTAACTTACCATTGATTGCAACGTAACACAATTCAACAATTGGTCCATAGTGCCTATTGTCCTCTTTAGATCCTATATCATCGAAATATATAACATATTGTCCAATTTGATAACAAGGAATACTCTGATTGATGTTTGGGAGATCAGTACCAGGATCTGCATAACATAGGTAACCGTCAGGTGGAATTGTTGATGTGTTAGCTACATACAGCTTAAATCCACTCATTCGATGGGCGACTGCAAAAGACTAAATCAATTATTATGCAAAATAAAAAATCCGGCCATTTTAAAATTTCACAAATTCAGTTAAATGACTTTTAAAACCGCATGTACAAATATTGAATCTAGCTCTGGAATCTTGAAACACAAACTTTATCTATCACTCATGAATAAACAACGAGCGATAACAATCTATCAAATAAAAAAAATAAGAAGAATGATTTGACTAGTCCAATGTTTGTATATACATCAAAATAAATTGCACAGGATCACCAATTTGAAACACACAATGAATCTGCAATTTATTAATATACAACAATACTAGAAACTTATTTCGATATCATTCTGTTAGCCTAGCAAATTAGCCCTTAAAGTTACGTATTACAAGGAGCTTTAATTTCTTATGGAGGGGCAATAATTTCGACAACAATGTGTTGTTTGTAATGCAACACAGAGAAAATAAATAGAGAAAACTTTCCCTTGCAAAAAACTAGTTGGCACATTGCGCAGTTTGTGGATCTTGTATAAGTGATACTGTTAGCTGCTTAGTTACAATTCAATTACTTAAATTTTAAGAAAATTGGTAAATCTCTAATCATTAATCATTTCTAAACGCCAATTATTTATTTCAGTTAGTTTGGATTATCGAAGATATTTGATTCTCGACCATGGGCGCCCGTTTAAGCTGGGGTCACACATTTACGATTTTAACAGCCATCCTTTACAGGACCATTCCCGATTGAAATTCGTCAAAAGTCTGATCAAGATCCTGTGAATCGTAGCTGGAAATTCAAACCTTAATCAAAATTTGTAAAAACAATTATTTAATCACGTCAATAATCAAATATTGTTCAGGAAGCGTCCTAATTCAGCCATTTCCAGCTGAAATTGTCCCGATTATCCCGTTCACAATCCGATTCAGATCCGATTTGTATCTGTCGCATGGTTAAAAAAGACCGAATCTGTCCCGACAGCGTCCCGATTCTACCGAATGTGATCTGACAGAGATCAGACAGTGACCAGACAGTGAACCGACGCTGAAGGAAGATATCCGTTAGAAAACGGTCGCCATTTTCGGGTCAGGTAACGCAATCTAATCACAGTCTGCTGTACCGCATTGCAAATGGCTTTGTCTGGACTCAGTCGTATTGTGTTCTGTAATTGTCGGAACGTGGGTATCATTGCCGAATTTCGTGTTAATAACGGGACTGTTCCGGAACGGTTTCGGCAAAGTCGCTTCGCATTCGGCAAGATCTGGATGCGATCTGGACTCAATCGGCAAAAAGACAGCGATGACAAATTTCTCCAGATCATGCCCGTTCCAAAGGACACCGTCCAGAAAACACAGAACATTGTTACGATTTTGATTCGATACAGCAGAAACTGTCACGACATAGTCACGATTGTAATCAGACTAGATGAAATCGGCTGAGTTTCCCCGAATGTTACGGGACGCACCTAACTGTCGGGGGTGCTTGGCTGACCTCTAAGGACCATTCCCGATCCGTAGGAATCTGTTACGAACGTATACGACTGCGTTCAGATAATGATAGGACATTCCAGATCATTGAGGATAGTAATCAAACTTTTTCACTTTTCGTATCTTGGCGCTGTCTGATCTCAAACGAGAGCCATAATCGACACTGTGTGAACGCCACATTACAGTTTATTGCTATTTAAACTTTCTATAGGAGTTATTTGAAGATTTTGATAGAAATATACATCATGTGTATGACATTTTAGGAATTTTAAAATTCATTACAGTCAGAGTGGTCATGTCAGTTGGTTGTCAGACAAGAAAACAAAAATGTTAGACATTGAGAATCATTTATGCAGTGTTACGCTAAAATTGGTGAAATGATTTTTAGAGGAGAAAATTTAAAAAGAAGTTTACGATGAAGAGCGACTGATACCAATTGGTGACAATAGCTCACGTATTCTCACAGATCAGGTTTAAAGGTCATAAAACAGGTCAAAAATAATCATTAATTGGTGGATTATACCTCAAATCAGATATAATCCACTATTTGACATATAATGAGATACACCAACTGAGGTATAATGCAGTTTTCATCCCAAAAAAATTTAAGAGATATTGGAGCATCTTTTTGGATTTACCATAACAAGCTTTGATGGCCACTTAGTTATGACATGAAATTGAATCTGACACTTCGTGCTGCATTTTGTTAGAGAATCACAAAAACTAATATGAACCTCCTGTTCATACTTATATATTCTGAGTTTTCATTGTTATGATATTGTAACTGTCATGCTTATTTAGTTGGCCTAATTTGTTTTGTGTGGCCTTGTTATATGTTTACATAATATTTATAGTTGTTTACAAAATAATCTTGTAACTGTGCAGTTTATAAATCACTGGAACGATTAAAGAGATTTATGGAATGATTAGAACTTTCTATTTGACTTACATAACGATTCCAGAATGATCATAATCTACGATGTGTAGTTCAAACTGCTATCGTTTCTAGAAGTTTTTGTTCTATAATTTTCTAGGAGTGTCCTTTCTACAGTGTTCTAGAGATTTCCGTGACAACTATATATATATATACAGACACTAAAGGTAAACTTTCAGACACAGACATTAATATTCTCAGAAGTTCTCTCAATTGGATTGACACTTTTATTTACGTTAACAACAACATACTAGATTGTGACTTATTGGACATTCAGTGTTATATTCTGTTTGGATTCCCGCGAAGAATTCCGGATAAAGAAAAGACAAAAGATCGGACATATATTTTTACAGTTAAGTTGACATTTCTATTTGTGTAATACTTCTTGTAATCTTGAGTATAATAAATCTTGTTAAATTTTATTATTGATTTGTGTCTTTTGTTGGCTACAATTTAAAGGTGATTTCTGGCTATAACATCATCTGTTAAATCTTATTTTTGTTCTCCAGTCTCTTCCTGTCCATTTCGACTGACAAATCTTAAAGTTGGAACTGATGCAGACTTAACGAAACCAGTCGTCAACACCCATCAATTAGTAATCAACATTTTCATTAAAAGCAGCACAGGAATTCAGAAGCAATTGCGTGTCACCAATGAGAACTCATCAAAGCTTACTCATCAAAGCTTAAGATGGTATATGCAAAAAGATGCTCGAATATGTCTTTAAAAAGTTCTGTGGTAAAAAATGCATTATACCTCAATTGGTATATCTCACTATATGTCAAATGGTGGATTATACCTGAGTTGAGGCATAATCCACTAATTAATGGTTATTCTTGGCCTGTAAAATATTACTCTACAGAAAAAGAAAACAAGGTACAATGTACATGAACATCGATATTAGAATCTGCATACATAAATGTATTTCGGAATATAGATTCCTAAAAGAATTGCCATAAAAGAAAAATGCATGTGTACCATATTATCAAATGCCAACTCGAAATGATAAAATATTAGATCTTGTGTTAACAAATTATCCAGCCATTACTGAAAAAACTGAAACCATGCCCCCATTAGGAGAGGCAGACCATGATATTGTATAAATAGAATGTTTGTTATCATTAAAATGATGCCACACCAAACCACGTAAAATCTATAAATAAAAAAACGCAAACTGGCAAAAAATAAAAGAGGATATAGATGAAATATATAAGACATCATGCATAAAAAGGATAGTGAAGATACAAATACACTTTGGATGATATTCAAAAATTCTTTGCAAAACACTTTCTCTGAGAACATACCAGAGAAAATGATGAGACACAGCAAAAATCTACCTTGGATAACAGACAGTCTTAGAAGACAAATGAAAAAGTACAAGAAAAATATCAAAAGTATAAATTGAAAGGCAAAGGGAAACAAGACCAACTCAAAAAATTAAAACATGAAATACAAAAATAACAAAGAACATCTTATTGGAAATATATTGAAGATATGATACGTGGTATACCAATTGATGACAACCCTACTACTATATCAAAGAGCTTCCCCAAAAATCTGTTCAGCTACATAAAAACACAAAAGTCTGAAAGCTCTAACATACCACCACTTCGGTAAGAGGGCTCACTTACATCTGATTCAAAAGCAAAAGCTAATATATTAAATGAACAGTTCAAAAAAGCATTCACACCTTTAACAGATGACCCAATACCAGAACAGGGCGACAGTAAACATCCACAGATGCCTGATATTATTATTCAAAAACAAGGGCATAGAAAAGCTTCTAACAAATATCAATATTAACAAAGCAGCTTGGCCTGATCTCATCCATGGAAAAATTTGTAAAGAGTGTAAGACATCTATTACTCCCATCTTATCAATCATATTCCAAAGATCATTGAACTCTGGAAAGATCACAGATGACTGGCGTCACGCAAGTGTCTGTTCAGCATTCAAAAAAGGCGACAAACACGATCCTATAAATTATCGCCCTATATCAATAACATGCATCTGCTGCAAACTATTAGAACATGTTGTAGCTAGTAATATAATGAAACATCTAGAAAAAAAAATAAAATCCTATATGACTTAAAGCATGGTTTTCGATCATCCTGTTCCTGTGAAACTCAGCTAATATCATTTATTCAAGATCTTGCAAATTCAAATAATAACAACATTCAAACAGACATCATTATAATGGATTTTGCAAAAGCATTTGACAACGTTTCACACCATCACCTAATGCATAAAATCGGTTTCTATGGTATAAATTGCAATGCATAACATTGGATTCAAGACTTTTTCATGTTTTTAACAAACAGAACACAAACAGTAGTCCTTGAAGGTGAAACATCACATACAATTCCTGTAACATCTGGAGTACCTCAAGGCACAGTGCTTGGTCCAATTTTATTCTTAATATTTAAAACCAGATGACACATATAAATTACAGTCTGATTTGAAATCGGCCGGCAGATGGGAGCGGGACTGGCTCATGCATTTTCACCCTGATAAATGCAACATTCTCAGTGTAACACACAAAACGAATTACGAAAACCTTTAGACTTTACTTACAAATTACACAATCACTCTCTAGAAAATATT